ACTATCTAGAATGTATGTACTTGGGCAGCTTATTCCACAAAGAAGCAGCTTTTAAAATAATCCTCTTTAAGGTTTAGTACCTAATTTTTCCACTATGTCGTTGATACCAAAAAAACAAGTTAATACACTGCATGCATGTGCTTTATATCAGTGATACTGCAATAAATAAATAAATATTTGAGTTCGAAATTAGGAGAGAAGAGGATTGTTTGCTATAGGATCTAGTGACCTTATTGCTAACAATGTCAGGTCAATCACCACGCGATTCCACTTGAAAACTACAGTTGTTAATACGCAATCTGATTGAGCACTCTAAGTCTGGTCGACTTCATGTTCGTCGTGCACAGGTCCCCGCCATCGCATACGCAAGCGGATGCAACCTGATATTTTCATCCCTTAAAAAAAGTAGCCTATAAATATAGAACATCACCACGAGATCCCATCTCATCCCATGATGTCACTGCATTAGTCATGAATTGTGAATGACCTATTCTTGACAACCATGACTGATTTATTCGTTCCTCAAGTAACTATGTATTTACCTATGTCAACTTTGCAAATCGGCAGTTTATGTTCACACAAAATCTTATAAATTTAATGTGAAAACAGTGAAACTCTATAATTTATATGTCAACTATAAATAAAATTCCTTGGCGGTAGAAATATGGGAGATTGAGCACTCTACTGCGTCAGCATTACTGCAGTCGCTTGGCAGTGAACTTTCTAAGGATTTTCGGCTCAAGGATGAGAGAATGCAGAGAAAAGGATAAAAGGCGTAACATCATCCGTATCAATGGCGTCGTATGACAACGTGTTGTTGTAGTACTGTTCAAAACATGCAAGCAAGCAAAAATCAAAAACAATTTATATTTAATTTATTTGAGACCAATATGAATATATGTATGTCCAATCAAATAACAAAACGGTTCTTATGTAGAACTAATAAAGCGAATATTAAAATATATAAGCTAAAATAGAGGTCCTGCTCCAAAACTTCTAAAGTCTCATAAAAATAATGAATACATGTCCAATCAAATAAGAAAATGGTTCATATCTAAAACTGATAATGTGATCGTTAAAAAATAAAAGCGTATATCGGTGTTCCTCCTACCTTCTAAAATCGCAAAGTATTAAAATACAACTTATATCGAACAAAAAAAATGTAATTGTATAGATGGCCTACTCCTACGTTCTAAAATCACATAAATTTAAAATTGAAAATTAAAAACTACTTACTAAAAAACATAATTTGAAAATGTAAAGCAAGTTTTCTATTACACCTTATATATGAAAATCAAATTTGTTTAACCCATGTAATTTTTGAAATAATTTTCAAAGGAAGGCCTTTCTTACTTAATCTTCTATATCTACTACTATAATAAAAAACATTGATATATTAAAAGGGTGGTTAATATTGGGCACATGGGACATTAGGCATGTCAGTCAAGTTATTTTAAAACTTGCCAACTTAAAAGATCGTTTTTTTTTTTGTGATTTTAATTATTTTGTATTTTTTTTTTTATAATTTTATTCTTTTTTTTTTAATACAACAAAAAGGGGCATTGTCAATGTCATAGTTTTCTTACAAATACCTAATTTGTAAGACAAATATAAAATTACACACGGAAAAATATAATAATATACAATTAAATGTTATTAAAAATAAGTAATGGCCTGTGAAAGACTGTCCTTTGTTTATTTCACGTAGTCTACTAGGTCATTATGTGGAGCAATAAAACTATGAAGGTTTGTGGAAAACGATATTTTCAAACCTAAAACTTATTTGGGCCGGTAACAGGGTTGCTATTATTGAATTTAGTGAAATAGAATTTTCACGGTTTTTATTTTAGGCTCAAGTTTCGACTAGCGGGTCAGATAAATACATGGCACTGAAATAAAATGAAGATGATAAAAGATGATTAAAGATCAAAAGGCTATAAAAAAATATTAAAACACAATGAGTAGAACATTATATGTATACATACATTATTATCAATTTAATACTAGACATATACGAATACCTAAATAATGTTAAAATATTAACTTAAAAAAACTGTTAAATTTTTGGCAGTTTGCTCAACTGTTGTCTGTTTGGTACTTGAACTATTTATTTATATATTTATTATTAATGATTAACTTGACACCTTAATGCTAAGCAAATTAATGACCGTTAGATATTGTATTTGAACCTTAAATTATTGGTACTGTATATATTTATTAAAACAATTATAATAATAATCCTATAGGAATGTAAAGTCACTGAAAGTTTAGACTCAGTGTCAGGTAAAGTTTTTCTTATATTTACGAGTATGTTTTATATTATCTATTAATGTTTGGTATAGTTGAAGAAAACAATAACACATTTATAAGTTACTTTAAAAATAGTGAGCGTAAGAACCTAAATAGGTTCTTAATTCTTTTTCTATTTTGAATGACTTCCAATTTGACTTTGTCACGTTCTTTTATTTGAATGAACGTGACAAAGTCCATCAGACAAATGAGTTGTTGTTTAAGAGTAAGGTCACATTGGCGATTTGCTAGATTTGATCTTTTATGTGGGAACTACTAATATAGTTTTTATATGCATTTACTGATTCAGTAGACGAAAATGGAGCCGTTTGACGAGGGCACTCCAAACAAGCACAGGTACCTATCGAGCAGCTGAAGTCTAACTCCTGCCTGACTCATTTTTTACTCAGTAGTCGTGTGTTAATATGACTAAAGTGAAGTGGAATCCAAGCTAACTATTGTACTAGAGTGACAAAAACCGACAATCGGTCGCCATGATCTAGCAGTTTACACACCGCCTTACCATCTGATCGCGAATTCGATTCTCGTACGATACATTTCTATAAATAAGTATTATTATCATATATTTGTCTGATTAAGTAAAACAAAATTATGTGTCTATTTCAGTTGTTTAGTACCTGTGTAAGTTGTGCTTAGTTTGTAGCTAGATGACGCTGTATGAAGTGATCAGGGTTATTATTATATTTTTATTGGTGGAGTGTATGCCACGAAGCCGTCACAAGTTCGCTCAGTGCTAGTTGCGAAAACGTTGCGCTTTCGCCCAGCTCTGAATTCGCTAGCAAATCGCCATTTTGACACTGCAGCTTATGTTTATTAATGAGAGTATGCTTATGCTATATAATATTAGAAGGTACAAAATATCACGGATCATTATTATAAATGAAAGGTAATACTTGCTTAAATCATATTAAGACTATTACACATTCAGGCTTCTTCTTAACAATTACAACTAAAACCTAAACTAATCACATAATAAGATAGTTCCAAATGCGCCTATTCACCATAGAATAAAAATAATTCAATTAATTTATAGAATAAAAACCAAAAACGCGACCATGATTGTTTCGATAATATTAAAAATAAATTAATTTCGCTATTTGCAATGGTAAAAAAGTTGGCGTTTTAATTATAACGGCTTAAGCGTCGTTTTATAATACAATTATAACAAATAAGACAGCCTCAGTGATGTAGTGGCTTAGTACACCTCTTTATTTATTATGGACGCGAATTTGATTCCTCGCACGGTGCAAACATTTGCTTGATGAGTATAAATGTTTAATACCATAATAATATCCCTGAACGATTAAAATAACGCTGTCTAATCACAAGCTAAGCAGAACTTATATTATGGGTACGAGACAAGTGATATAAATAATTAGACACATTTTTATTTATACATATATAATAATAATAATATATGATCATAGAAAATAGTGAGACCGGTACAAGCAATCATACTTTTAAATACGATTGTTTAGGTCTCGGTCTCGTTTAAAGGTATATTATACATGTATACTAAAAATAATGTATTCATGTATTTCTATCAGTTGTCTAGTCATGTCTGCCCGTAGCACAAGCTCTGCTTAGCCATCTAGTCCCAAACTAGGTGGCGCTATGTGAACTATTCTGGTTTATTATTATAATTCCATTAAAACTATAATATATAGCTTAATTTTATGTCAAAGTCATCGTTTATATAAATAATATCAAATATAAGTATATTGTTTAAAATTACAATGTCGTTTCGATAAAACTAATAGATAATTTATTTTATAGCATTAAATTTTACAACAATTAAGCAAACTATATTTGAATGCTACTTTTCAGACTATCGCCTTTCAAATATAACTGTTATACATACAGTGTAAATAATTAATTAATTATTAGCGCCATCCATAAATTATGTCACATAATAAAAGAAAAGGGCGTCAACGAAATGTGACATTATGTAACAAGGTGTGAAGGAGTATATTATCATAATTATTTAAATCGAACATACTAACAAATTTCGCAACAGCACGTTGTAAATTCACTCACTTCTATATGTAAGACATGGGACGTGACACTAGTGAGGTTGTGACAAAAATGTGACAATTAAAATCATGAAATTCATATGACGCAATTTGTGGATGGCTGCTAAACGATGCATATCGATAGCCGTTTAACAAAACGGAATGTTACATATAATCATAATGATTGAGCACTCTTATTCAACCTATTTGGTTTATTATATTATACTGTTTTCATTAGAAACACGTCACATTTAATACAATTTATTATAGTCAACGAAATTATTAACCATCTGTCACATAATGGTTCTGAACCTGTATTACGATTGTATGTATACATTCCAAAGGCCGATGTCTGTACCTTACAAATATATAAAAAAAACAATTATTAAAGTAAAACAAGCTTAAACAATCCTTAATTTTTTGTCTACCTGTATGTTTCCAAATAAAGAAAAATAATTGTATGGAATTGAATGCAGTTTGCACAATATTTTGGAAATGTAACTTAAAATGAAACCTATGTTCTAAGTGAGCACAATTTTGAAAACAAATTATTCTATACCAAGCATGGTCGCGTCGCTAGTATAAAAAAAAATGGATTATAGAGATTTTCTCGTATGTATACAATGGCAAGGAAGCTGTGGCGAGTCGCGCAGCTGGAAAGCATGTAAAGATGTCTACCATTCCGATTTACTTCTGCCAACGTCGTATCCAGTCAGGACGCTGCGAAGCGCTGTTGTCAGCTTCTCATTAGGTTCCGGTTCGTATCTCGACAGATCATGCCGACAACACGGACAATTCTTGCTTGTAGTTTTGAAAGCTCCCTTTATACAGCTCTGTAAATATATATACTTTTTATGCAATTTTTAAAAATCTTAGGATACAACAAAACAGTTATTTTAATATGGTTTATATGGGGTAAGTATTCTGTAAAAAGTCATCTGCGTACTCCAGTCTCATGTATATAACTCCCGGCAATTTGTATTGTAAGCTCTTTCAGTTAAAGGGTGAAATAAAACAATGAATATAATAGAATACAACGGACTAGAAAATTCTTTATTCAAATAAACTTAAATATCAAATATTCTTATTCTACATTTTCACTTAGGAAAATGCAGAATAAGAATAGCATTTCAGCCCTGCGTAATGGCAACGAGTGTATCGCGGGCGTCACATGTTAACGTGATGCCGGTAGTGCTGTTCATTTATGCGACTGTTTTTTAATGTATATCTATAATTATATACATCAAATACCATATAACACGATGGCAGGGGCAGCACGCTTTATTTCGTACTATTCCAATGCTGTTGACCATAGCAGCCTTTACAGCTTCACATAACTATAGGGGGCGAGTGTAGATAGCACTCAAAACCTGCTGAAGGACATAGGTAGCGGCTGAAGATCAAATCCTGTCTGACGAATACGACGTTAGTTTGAGGGCAGCACGCCGGTTTTAGCAGTTTATATAGTAGCGGTGTACGACGGTAGCGCCTCCAAAGGAAGTTGCAGCTAATGTATATATGTATATGCTAGCTGCACCATCGTTTTCGTATCCGTGGTATTCAGAATAACAATAGTTTAGAACTTTTCTGAGCAAACCCTCTAATGGAATAAAACAAACACTCAATTTTGTGTCAAGCTTACCGTAATGAATTAGTGAAATCCGCACCTAAATATAAGTTTCTGAGATCAGCGTGCACAAACGCGCAGACAAAATTCTAATTGTTTTGGTATCCAATATGTTGAAAAAATCGCCTAATATTAGCTTTTCTCATATATATTTCATGTACAGAAATCAGTTATATTTTAATTATATGAATATATATACATACATACAGATTATTAGTTGCAATTTAGTACGATACATACCAAGCAAAAGTTATGGAGGCAGGGCGTGGTGACAGGAGTAGCGGCTACCTCCTGGCAAATGATGCACAGGAACATTTGTGTTATATACTCAATGAATTCCTGCAACAATTAAACATTTCACTAGTTATTAGATTTTTATAATTTTGTTTCAGTAGGTACCATTAAAGAAGTGTACGTTTGTAAGGAGTCGTCTGATTGGGTATCTCAGTCCCACCTATTTAGTCAAGCAGCTTGCTTTAAGCTATGTTTCTGTTATACGGTGAGATTACGCAGTTAAATTAAAAATATGAGGCGTTCATGTATATTAGCAACGGTTACCACTTACACTCGGGTGGACCATCAGCATGTCTGCCATTCCAACTACATAATAAAATATGTACTCTCCATAATATAACATTTAGTTTCTTACAATATTATAAGTAACTATTCTATATATATTATTATCTATATATATATATATATTATTATTCTATATAAGTAACTATACAATATTGTTTACGGAATTCTGTTACAACAAAAATAAACATTCAAATTGGTCAAGACGTTTTTAGTTATGGAGAGTCTAATTAACGACATTTGTGGTATAAGTTAAAAACTTGCGTGGTCTTATTATAGACAAATATCTTCTATCCAATGCCAAATAAAGATAACTTGAATAATCTAGTGCACTAAAAATAAAGATAATAATATTATTTGTATATATCTAGAAATAAATAAGGTAGTCTGCCTTATAACAGTGGCAGTCGTCTATCTGAGCGTTCTGTCATGTATAAAGAACATATTTAAGAACTAATATACTAATTTGTACAGCAACGTGTAATCCTGCACACGCTTAGTTATCTGTTTACACTGGAAGTGTAAAACTGATAGAGTCATGATAGAATGTTAGTCAGACTACTTAGTCCATTGCGGCAGATTTATCAGGAATCAATCAACTGCAATTTCCAGTAGAGACTGCGTGGTGATCGACCTAATGTCTTCATACCACCCTCTGTTTATAATACCCATAACAAGACGTCTGCTTAGTTTGGGACTTAAGGGCCATTTTGTATAAACGATTGAAGAAGTCCAATGAATCAACAAGTGTAACAGAATATATATACATAACCTAATATAACTGCCTAATAAATCTAATATAAGCCTTCGAAACACGTTTGATTCGCAAACTGTCGAGTTTAGCCGTTTAGTTGAGCCCGAGAGTCTAATACTTTTTTACCCAACAACTATTATTGTGTGTATATGTATACATATTATTATGAATAAGGTCGGAATACGTATCGGTTCGGAAATACCATTGCTGAAAGGTGATTCCACAATGTGATTGTACGTGGCAAAAAATTTCTATAAAACCGCACTGTGGAGGACCTCCATTAATCCAGATGATCAGGATGATATCGATCAACGCGATCAATTAACGATCGATAAACGCGCAAACTTGTGTTGTCTTGGGGTTGAACTTTACACGATTTCCTGAACTAAAACCAAACATATATACACTCTATAAATCTTTTTTTTTTTATTTATTTTAAGGCATTTTGCTATTGAAAAGGGTAAGTCTTTTATCTGATCATGTGTTGTAAACAAATTTAGATGTTGTTTCACAAACCTGTAAATATTGAGTATATACACATTCATGGCAATGGAAGAATAAATAGAGGTTTACATAATTCTCTGCATGCGACATTGCAAGTGCTCTAAATATAACTTTTTGAACTTTAAAAGCTTTATCTTTGTCACATGATTTGCTCCAAATTCACAATTCTTAATGAAGTACATATGAAAGAAACCCATGATACGCACTAAGCGCAATTTGTAAAGTGGTCACTGGCTGGAGTTTAAATCATTGAAATAGAAAATATAAAAATAATAAACAATCAGAGGAAAGGAAAGGTCATTTCATTCATTATGTATATCATATTAATGTTGTAATGTGGTACACATTACAATCTTATTTGAAAAGAACCAGGGATGAATTTCTTGTCAATCTGTCGTGACTCTAAACTGCATTGCGACCTTACAAAGATTTGATTTATTTATTTTATATATATTCTTTATTGCACCAAATACAGAATATAATTAAAATAGTAAGTAAGACCCAAAAGTAGTCTGGAAGGCATTGTTTAGCGATAAGATCTTTTATATCAGGTTACACAACCTGAAGGCCGTCTTATCGCTAAACAATGCCTTCCAGACTACTTTTGGGTGGATAGAGAAAGTAAAGATAAGGAAATGGGTAGGTGACACAAGTAATGAACCATATGTGTCTGTAATGAACCTTCATAAATAAAAATATTTTGAATTCTAACTGTAAAATATAAAAAATAAATAAATAAATACTCACCCGTTTACCACGAGCTTCATTAACGATCAAGCACTCATCCCAAAGTTTGGAATTGAGAGTATCTGCTTTGATAGCATTCATCTCCTCTGTGGTTAACAGACCGCTCGTCTCTGTTGTACTATCTTGTGCACTCTTTGAGTCTTTTGCTTTAGGACTATTCTTAGTGAACATATTGGATATCTTCGCTTTTGGGCTCTTAGTGATTGTACTGTTCTTGGATTCTGAAAGAATAAATTGTTTATAAATACAAGTACTGTTGGCGACAGCTCCTCAGGGAGAGCAGTGGTCTGTATCGATGGCGGGGTTTGAAAGAAACGGTTGTCTCTTGAAGCCTATTTATTCTCTCTGCAGAAGTTTCACAATTGAGTTATAGCCGTATTCGATGTTACATTTCAATTTCAGCCGCTTTCAAACTGTATCGCGTCTATACGAAACTACTGCAACAGACTCTACGATAATAACGGACTATAACTGCTGTCCGTACTGTGTTTGATTATAACAGCCGTCGGCGTATAAGAATCCGACTATGACTGTCTGAGTACAATTCTCGATAGTAACTCGATTATAACTCCCTAATACAAAAAATCCTCGCCTTATATATGGAAGGTATAGACTGTAGAGGGGACTACAGTCCTAACAAAATTCTTACTGGCAATAAACCAAACCTTATTTCTATCAGACAATGCACAACGTTATACAACTTCATAACAATATCCTTTCACATTGCCGAAATTCCCTTACTTATTTATTCTCACAAACTAACAGTTACTCATAAAGAATGAATGCATTGCATTTTACAACTCTACCCAAGAATATTTAACATTGGTGCAATAACCAATTTCCTTGCCTAACTACAATGCACTGTAAACATGAATTGGACAATATTCATAAAGACATGAAATACCGTGTTCCGTTCGTTAGTCTACAATAAGAATATGTTTACAATAAGAAACCCTATGTTCATCATAAACCCGATGGCTAGAAAATAGTAACGGTGTTATCTTATCACAAAAAGCCAACAAATATTCATTGTGTTGCTAAACAATGAACGCCAAATGAACGCCGGTACCCAAACAGATGTTCAACCGTTATCGTAATTTTAAACAGTGAATCGATGTCTTATTCTAAAACAGCAATTTTAAAAACTAATATTATTTCTAAGTGATTGTCCAATTTCAACACTTATTGTCTACCTAATCTACACAACTATTATAGGTGCGTCGCGACGCCGCTTATACGTGTCGCCTGTCGTCAATAAGTACATATTCATTTATAACTATTCGTAATCCGCTGTTTTATATGGCTGTCTGTCAATTTGTAAATTTTACTCTATTAAACGGCTGAACCGGTCTTTATGAAATTATATGAGAAGACTAGCTTTTGCCCGCGGCTTCGCTCGCGTTAATTTATCCCCTTAGGGGTGGAATTTATCAAAATCCTTTCTTAGGGGATGCCTACGTCATAGTAGCTTTATGCAAGCAAAGTCTCAGCCCGATCCGATTTAAAATTGACAAAATTTCATACAAACTTTCATCCCCTATTTTATCACCGGGTAGAATTAATAATTTAGATAGATTGTCTCATGAGAGCGGACACGGATTATTATTTATTTTAATATTGTGGATAAAAAGCTTATTACATTATATATAGGTAGACAAAGTATATTTAAAATAAATCTTTATTTCACCTACTTACACAATGTTTACAATCTGCAAAACACTGCCTGCAAAACTGTCGGGGTTTACATAGACGCTCTTTCACGCGCTAATAGACTTATACGCAGTAAAGAATATGTATGTAAATGTAAACAAAGAGAACGAAAAGGAACACGCGCGGTGCCAAATCGCGCATTCCGCGTCTTTAAATCGTGCGTGCTTTATCACCTTTTTGTAAAAATTTATATCTTTGCAAAATGACGGACTATGGAACAAAGACATAGTTATAGAGTTATCGATTAATGTATAAATCTGTGGAATATTGTTGGTGCCACGGGCACTATTCACTCGGTCGCTGATTTAATAAGAAAAAAATACTTTGTCAAAAAATTATATTGTATGTTAATTATTATTACAACTATGTAATTACTTTCATATATCATTATTATATATGTAAGTATACAAATATATATATAATAATATTTTAAAATTGAAATGACATTAATTATAAGAGCGCTATCTCGGCCAAAAGAGTGAACACATAATTAATAAAATGTAATTGTTCACGATTGAGCTCGCTGGCTTTTTCGATAAATCGCGCGTGAAAGGTAGCTAACAGCGAGATTATTACCCGAGATTTTGACAAGACAATGAAAGTCAATAATAGAATTGTTAGTACGCACACCTACCTAGTTTGCCAGCCTTTTTTTCAATGATCTTGCGTTTCTTGACAGGTGGAGATGGTTCATCTTCAGAAGTTGTAGATTCGTTAATTTTTCTTAGGGCTCTCTTTTTGGTAACCTTAGGCGTTTTACGGGATTTTTCTTTTAACGCTTTTTTCTCTGCTTCCGCTTCTAGATAACCGTCTGGGTACTGAAAGTTAAATTACTTACTGGTAAGTTGTTTTTTTGTGGATGATAATAAAATGTTGCAACTTTCTATGCTAACGGTTTACGCTAGTGGAGAAAAACGATAAACATAAGGTCGGCACCATGGTACATATTTATAAATAACTAAATGTCCTAAATAATTAATATTCAATTTGCCACGGTATTTTGTTATCATGTCTCTGAAAACCTGTATTAGCTTTCTCTAGAAATATACCGTTGATTATGTATCGAATTGAAAGCTGTTGGTTTTTAATAAACATATAAATACTCACGATAATAGGATACTGCTTCGCGCCAGGCTCCCAGGGTGCCCGGTTAGGATCGTCGCGCCGCAATAGGTACTTCCAAACAATGTAACCTGATAATCCTTTTTCGGGATAATATTTGACCACCTTGTAAATACCGTCATAACTGTAATAGTATAAGTACAAATACATTGTGTTGTATTATTAAATTCAATTCCAGGAAACACAACCACAATTTTTTTTTTTTCTATATTACAACGACGTTAATGGAAATACATGTACGTAAAATTTAAATATGTTGTGGGATATTCCTTGGCTTTTATAAAGCTATAAAACTAATATTCTCAAATAAAAACTTATGGTCAAACAATTTACAGTAAGGTACACTACTATCCCGCTACTGCTGGTAATTTTATTCATTTACACCTGTTAAAATTGTATCCGATATTAAAAATTCGTATAGTGCTTCGACTCTATAAGTCGACCAGTATAATAGTGTACTTTGATCCAATTACTCACCGTATCCCTTCTTTCGGCGCGTACTTTGGGAAGTGTTTCATCATTTTATATGATCGTACAACTCGAACCGGTTTACCGTTACGCCAATTATTACCAGCATTACCACCCGCCTCTTTAATTTCCTTCACTGCACAGTTTCTAGCTAGAGCCCTGTAATCATTATATTAATACGTGAAGCAAAATCACTATAATTAACAATAATTTGTACCCTTTTTTACGCAAATTGAGCGTAGGAGTATGAAATTTAGTAGTACCAGTGGCACTCAATGAGGAAGTAGCCATTATTATTGCTAAAAGTTGCATATAGATGGCGTGATTGGTATCGATGGAATTCTTCATAGTTTTGCAAACGTTTTAAAAAACAAAACTGTGTTTTCAAAAATGTTTAATCAATTTTTAAAAAGTTATATATACATGTTAAAATGAAATAATGCGTTTAGAAAAGTAATTTTCATATATTTACTCATTTTGTTATTTTCCAGTACTTAATTACACTTTAATCAGTGCTAATATGGGGCTCAATGTTTTCAAAATGCTTTCATAGATGGCATTGTCGTCATTTGTATCGGCCTAATTAAATGTCTTTTTTATATTTTCCAATAATAAGCACTTAATATATTATTATTGTAAATTAAACATATAAATTTTTTTTAAGTAAATTAAAAATAGCCGAACAAGCAAGTAATACTATTTCCAATAATACTTATGTATGAAGTGTTGTCATATTAAAAATAAATACATGTATTATCGATTTTTTTTTAATAATCGATAACAGGATTTTATTACAGCGCATTATTCGATGATGCTTTTAATGAGTCGTTGTGAACAGTAAATTTTCATTATTATGTATTATAGCAGTGTTCCGTTTCAAAGAACGGAATATAGTAGTACATTATTAGTGACGTTGGTTATTTACATTTGTACTGAATAATCGATTACATAATAATTTAAAATATCGAGTACGAATCGTAGCTGTCTTCGAATACTGGCAACTGGTAAGATTAAAATAGTATTAAAAAAAAAAGAGAGAAATCGACCCTAACTCGAACACCATAAAGTTGATTTTCCTTTCTCATTAATATATCATAGCAGTTTGTTTTTAACTTGCGTATGACTCTGTGGTATGATGTTTAACGTGTATTGTTATTATACGGTGCATACATTTCAAAAATTATATTTTAATGTAGGTACATACATTTCATACATGTCAAAAATTATCTTTTAATGTAGGTACATACATTTCTTTCATACATTTCATACATTTCAAAAATGAACTTTTTATGTAGGTACATACATTTCTTTCATACATTTCATACATTTCAAAAATGAACTTTTTATGTAGGTACATACATTTCTTTCATACATCTCATACATTTCAAAAATTATATTTTAATGTAGGTACATACATTTCTTTCATACATTTCAAAAATTATCTTTTAATGTAGGTACATACATTTCAAAAAGTATCTTTTAATGTAGGTACATAACACCCCATGTCAGACCCCTTGTATTTGGAAGAAACTTAAAAATAATGCCAAAAATATTAGATGAATATATTTTTAATACGAATATTGTTTTATTTTTGTTCATCAACTTTATCCCTCACTAACAATACTAGTAGTAGTACATAACCTGGTTTATACCGCTAAAGATATTGAAAGATATACGAGTAATTCAGAATGTTATCAAGTTTAAAATAAGCACACATTACTTGCTTAGATAACAGAGTAATATTACTCGTAATAAAAACATTTGTAACACCCATATGTATACTACGTATGTATAGTAAGTACTTACGCTGCGGCGCCGTGAGACTCGTCTACCTCATCTACTAACCAATAGGAGCGCGCCTCTCGTGTTTCCAGAAAGTTCGCGACTAACGGACGATATAGTAGTAAGGCAATGAGTGTCCCAGTGACATCATTATAATATTTTCTCGTTAAATTTTATTGTAATATACACAAATTCGCACTACTAAATAACGTGTTACCCCGTTACACATTTCTAATAATGAAAAACCTTTTTTTTTTTTTTTTAACGTGTGGAAAAATCTTCAAAAGACCGTCACCCCGCCGGAGGGATGGCGAGGTGGTGTGTGGGACTTGTACCCACTAAAAAACCACACGGTGTACCTACGAGCGCCTATGCCGGAGCCAGGGGATTCGCAGGTGCATTCTACCCCAGCTCCGACGGCGACGGCCCGCCCTGTAGATGTTGTAGGGCAGGCCCCATCTCGTTTTGTGGTTAGGGCGACCTATTTCGCCCTACTCCATTGTGGAGGCGTGTGGGTACACGCGCACACCTCCGGGGCCTTTGGATTGGGGGACTGCCTCCCTCAAGGCAGTCACCCCGGCCCCAGTGGGGGATAGAGGGGGACGGAGTTGGATACGCTCCCACCTCTAGGCCTGGCTCTTCTGCGGCGGAGGGAAGCGGGACGATCTGACTCCCGCGCCCTTTCCGCCGCCTCCTTCCGCGAGATAACTTCCTCGCAGAAGGAGCTCACCGCCAGCCACGATCTCTCGCTACTGACCATCCTCCGAACTAAATTCGGCAGCGAGAGATCGTCCCCCACTATTCGTGTGAGGACACGGCGCTCACTCTCAAACGCTGGACATATTTCCAGCGTGTGTTGCGCCGTGTCCTCTACACCTCCGCATAATAATGAAAAACCTAGACCAACCCTGTTCACTTAATCTTACAAGATCTGACTTTAAAAATTACGATATCCTCATATAGCCTTTCATTTCCCCTTTCAATACTTTTTCGCATTAAAAAGTAGCCTTTCTCAAGGTCTACATTATCTGTCTACCAAATTTCAATTAAATCAGTTCAGTAGTTTTGGCGTGAAAGCGAGACAAACAGACAGACTGAGTTACTTTAGCATTTATAATATTTGTAAGAATATCGCTATTAAAAATAGGGGTTGGTGAAAGACGGGTGAAAATTTAGGCGTGTATGTATTTTCAATGTAACATTATAAATAAATAAAAAATTGTCCATAATACAAAAAAATATTTTTTCGGGGTAGGCCACCCCTATGACTTAGGGGTATAAAAAATAGATAACAACCCTACCTCAGACCTGGCAAGTATACATATCAAATTTCATCAAAATGTGGGTGAAATATGGCAACTAACACTGTGATACAAAATTTATATATAAGATATAGCGGAATTCTCATTAGGGAAAAGAGGGGTACATCGTAGAATACATGAGGTATATACCAGTAAATTAATTGTAGCTAAAACCAGTCTCTTACACATAACGATTGAAATAAAAAATCATATAGCCCGATTTTGATACGTACGAGTATAAAAGTATCAAAATCGGGCTATACGTATAGCGCAGACGCGTTACAACATATCAAAAAAATAGGCATGGAATGTAAAATAAACCATAACATAATAGGTATATACATTGGCACATAAGCCATATCTGCAGAGTGTCGGCTAACGATATTATACCTACACATTTACATTGAATCTTGAATCGTCCCTAATGAGGTACACGATACAGCTACCTACATATCTATTATATACATATCTTTGCAAAACAGATGTCATGTAGACTGAATTGACTGCCATCTATTTTCATGCTTTGTTACTAAGCACCCACTAGTAATCCGAACTGCTTCAGATCTAGCGACATCTAGCGGCTACGGTGGCGAAATAAAATAGCCCGAAGAATAGCCCGAGTTAGGAAGGAACCATTTTCTTGTATGGGATGGGGTATCTGTATGTAATATTATGTTATCTGTGGTAGTACTAACAATAAAAACTACATTGATTCAATAAAAAGACATTACGCACACCAGCAATAACAATTAAACAAAAGAATATATATGCATGTGTGTATAAAGCATATCGTTCGTTTAATTGTTATTGCTGGTTCAAAGATCTTACTCTATTTTTATGGTTCAAATTCTACCATTGGGCGACCACAAGTATATAGTACACAATAAGGTAATTTATATTTTATGCCATAAATAGATGTCAAATACTTTTAACCAAGGAGGCCACCTTGGTCAAAAATACAAATACTCAGATTTTAATTGTATGATCATTTGAAAATACATATATATAGAAAATACTCAGTTAGCGACAAACAATCATACTCATGAATACAAATATACCGTGCGAGGAATCGAACCCGCGACCATTGGAATTAAATCGATATGCTAAACCGCTAGACCACCGACGCCGCCACGAAATGTCATGTCTTCTGTAATTTTACTGGCACATCGTGAGATGTGGCAGTAAAATTACAGAACTGAAACTACCAATTACAAATTACAAAACTGAACTGAAATACCCCTTACAAAATTGCTTGGCGTCTGCAATAGGCATAATAAAAGAAAAATAGATAAAGTAAAGAAACTAACTTATTCTCCCTGGTCAGTGTCTGATCGCAGGATTGCTCGGCTGTTCGCTTGTTTCCAGATAGGTCTCGACCTCCGCTACCCGTGTAGGTGAATTCATTTCCATTGTCTACGTCGTCCTCATAACCACCTTAGAATAGGAATAAGTTAATTAACTCCCACATGTAAGTAAACCTCACAATATATCATGCCCCACCTCAGTCCAGTGCCTCTGATTGAGAAATATCCTACTTAAAACACTTTTTAAAAAGGACAATTATTATTAATTTTGTATTTATTTTTATTTGCTTTCCTTATTCTTTTTTATGTCATAAACCTATGTCCAATTTAATGTATTATTTTTTATTACAATTTATAGGATATAATAATTTATATGCTGCTGTGAGCATCATCGATATTGTGTTGCGATGTGTGTTGTAATAAATTTAATCCTATTCTATTCCAAGTCACTGAAATTCCAAAATATTGTTGTAAACATTGGAATATTAATGTATGTTCTTAGATAATTACACTAACCTGACAGAACAATACTATATGCTCCTTCTACGTCACGTCCGTGAATACCAGACACAGGGGGTCGATGCACTCCCGTCTCTGAAAGCTAGGACATAACACACTTTATATTAATAAAAAAAGGATATTAATAAAGTTATTAATGAATATTAATATGTTCACTACAATAAAATTAACAAAATGGAAGTTAATAGTTAGTATATGGATTATTTACCCTATTGCCAGCAATGCACCATGCAAAATTGACCTCCATGTTAAATTGGTGGTAAAGTTTCAACAATGGACTAACTATAATCATTCTCGACTGGTGCTCCGCCAGTTATACAGCCACATACAGTTGTAAATCATCGGGTGCACAGTTCAATTATCATGCATTAAAAAAAATTAAATTTATCAACATTACAATTAAATCTTTATTGAAGACAATAGAAGTATTCTTGTGCAGTAATGTTTTTATTGTACTACTATTTTTTATTGTTTGTTGATTTTGATTTTTGCTATTTAATGAATGTACATATAATAAGAGTGGGCAAGAAACTTGGCTGATGCTATTTTTAAACCACATTTGATGTTGCACACATACAATGGCCGAAGCAGAAAACAGAGTCTAACATACTGTACCAATCTGTATAAAATTTTACATGGTAAACATTTAGTCTAAACTACATATCAAATAGCACAAATTATAACAGTCAAGATATTAATTATACAATAATTATGTTATGTTAATAGGGCATGACTTTATATAGTCACACCAGGTTATACAATGATCGAACAAATAATAACGAAAAACAAAATAAAAAAAAAATATATATATATATATATATAATACATACATATATATCTTTTAGTTAAAATATATAAACATTTTGACGGCCACGACGATACACACACCTCTCATAATTTTATTGTTAGGGGTTGTACATAAAACGAGCTCTGCTTACCGTAGACTATAAGACGCTGTGTCAATTGGTCAGAGTTATTGTAATAATTAGTACATATTATTGTACGACCCCCAGGAATAAATTTATGATGCCATGCTTACCTGTATTCTAAACCTCCAGCACATGCCCACTTCAATTCCAGGGATAGGTCCAAAGTGGTTTGCGGGCATAGCGCACGTTTTTGTCTTACCTAAAATTTTATATTATTTGTAAAAAAATGTATTATTAAATCACATTACTTTTTTAGTCTTTGTAATAAGTTAACATATACAGACTTTTTACAAAGTTTATTTATCTAGTCTATTTTACACCTAATAGGATTAATACTCAGTTTAATAGTAACATGACCTGTGAGGTGACATGTCTAATATATAAACAAGGTTCGAAGACATATAAAAAATGTACTGTGGAAATATTTCGTATTCTATTATACGAAATATTTCTATAGTACATTTTTATGTCTACATTTGTATATATTGCTGACACCCGTCTCTTTAGATATATCTTGCTAAGCTAAGACCTACTTCCGCAGAATAGTATAGAATAACAACATTAAAATAATTGATATTTATAGGAAGTTTAATGCCACTTACAAATGGCAAAATTTTTATCATTATCCTTACCGTCCAATTAAATGTTTGAGTTAAAGACATTAATTTTCCATATAAATTAATATTGGTATTAAAAAAATAGGGGTTGATGGTAAATGAGTTAATATTTTGGGTTGTGAGTATTTTTAATGCTATATCACATTATTAAGAAATAAAAAATATAAACATTGTCCAAAAAAAATCAACACATGAAATTAAAGGCCGGCCAGCCAGCGTTATCACTAAGGTGCATAAAATGCATGAATTTTATAAAAAATATGTATTATGTAATTATTAAATACAATTTTAGCTCACCAGCACAAGCCATGCCTCTCCCCCAATCTCTGTTGCTTTTGGATGTGTTCGTCTTTTTCGCCTGTTTGGCACCACCTGGCACAATCACGCTAGTGTTGTCCCGTTTACAGGAGGGACAATACCAGTCCTCCTCGGGTAACTCAGTCATCGGTGGCGTAAGACAAATCATGTGGTACCCACCATTACATTCGTCACACATCACAATCTGCAATTAACCATTTATATTCAAGTTCAAAAATCATTTATTCATGCACCTCCATATTGGCATCAGCCACCGGAAGGAAAACTAGTGCTGTGTGTGCTAAACTTGTCTATATTATCAGTAAATCACATGAGATTCAGTAATCTAACTCAAGTAATTTTATATCTATTTTAACGCGTTTCAACAAACCTAATAAATAGAAACACGTGCACACGTACGTCCTACGAGAGCAACAAAAAGAAACACTCACAAACATACATAAATGCAAATCTGAATTTCATAGAAATGGCCTAGATGAGGGGCTAAACTGGCCGCTGGCCGACAATAGAGTCCAACTTAAATTACATTACATTATAACTACAAATATGAAGGCTATACAAGTTGTTAACACGTAATAACTAGCAAAGTTAAAATCAAAATGATCTCATTTATTAATCTAGAATCAATAAATAATTTACACTACATTTTCACATAGTAAATGGCAATGGACATCAAAAAGGCGATTATAATGTACCTAGTAAGGTATATCAGTTATATTATGTCATGTGTAGACTTATGTAAAGAAGACAACATATACTCATATTGTTCAGCTAAAATTTTTAATAAATACACTTAGAAATATAATAATAATAATAATCTTCCTATTATTCTTACTGTAAACAATAATGTGTTGTTTAGATGCAAGAAATTTGATTTGATTTGATGAAAAATATAAAAACTCACTTTATCTGGAAAGTCTTTTCCCGAGCACAGACAACATCCACAGTCCTTACATGGAGTGTTTGGGTCATCTCGACACGTCAGACAATTCACTGGCTGCGACCCTGTAGCACAAATGTTGTACTAATAACAAATTATACAAAAATAATAATGATAATAAGAACCCAAGATATTTTCACATGAAAAAAAATAAAAAGATATAATCTCTGGATCTAATGTACTGTTTTTGGAAATTCTAATAGTGTTAGGCAGCCCATTTATCGAGGTAGGCTGGATTAGACTATATAACATCACGAGGAGCAGAGGCATGAAACAAATGTGCCAAAATCGAAGCACATATGATGATTTATTATATTACAGATAATATAAAGCAATTTTTTTTGTTATTCTTAAACTTCTTGTAACTCCAATTTCTTGAATAATTATTAAAATTATTAGACTGTCTTGTATTGTTCATGGTACTGAGCTAAATTGAGTTTTTCAATTGCAAGTAAATATAAAACAAACTTGTTTAAAGAAAAAGATACTAATGTCAAACATTGAGATTAGTTGCTTATCCTATGGACAAAAGTTAATAGTGTTTAATTAGTATTTGTAGAAAATTTTCACTGTAGTACATTTTGAATGCACTGCAATGCAAATGCAATGCACTGCAGCACAATAAATATATATATATATATAAAAGAATGTGTACTGACTTTTATCAGGTTGTGTTATCATCATCTTCTTGTACTCTTTACTTCTCTTTGCTAGTGGAACAACTTCATCTATTGTATATATTTTGTCGAGGACCCTGACTATTGTATCATTCTGAGGGACAACTTCAGAGCCAGAATACAATGTCCCCACAAGTTCATACACCGACCGTAGCTTATTTATTTTATCTATTTTAAAGTCATACCTGCACATACATAATGTATATAATTAGTGAACATTTAAATTAACATACTACTGCCCTGCCTCAATGCACTATCCTCCACGTCATATTTAAAAAGTAAATGCTTAAATGTGTGCACAGAAAAATATGAGCACATAAATAGATGGCATAGCAATTTAGGATACCACCCACCACCTTACTTCCGATGGTAGTGGGTTCGATTCCTTACATGGCACAACCATTTGCATTCATGATTATGATTATTTGCATACATCTCGGGTTTTTTTTTGTTTTCTATGTATTTATGGAAAAAATATATCTATACATCTGTATCAGTTATCTAGTACCCATAACACAAGCTTTCGTTATCTTAACTTGGGTCTAGATGGTGCTGTGTGAATTATCTTGAGATTATAGATTATATACATACCAATATCCTTTTTCAAAGGGGTCCTCAGTGTTGTGATTTACCATGATTTTCTGTCCTACTTTCAAATCTTTTGGATCTATCACATGTCGAGCCCGGGGTCTAATATCTTTTAATAGACAGTATGGATTTGGCTCATTTTCACTGAAATTAATATATTATCCATTACAACAGGTGGCGAAAGCTGTATCTGAAGCTAGAGTTACAAACAGCTCGAAAAAACATATATTTTTAAGGAAAACAGTATTTTTTATGACATGCCCACTACTTGGTAAAATGAAAAAGAGGTACAAAAACAGATGTGTTGTCACAAAGCAACATTTACTAAAAAAAAAAAGGTTTCCTAACTATATCATTCATAAATATGATTTCTTGAAGTTCAACATATCTGATAGCAGGGACTTGGGCCAGCTCCCTGGTAGTACCAGCTCACGAATTTCACCACAGGTATTGTATATGGGATAGTCAAACGCATTAGACGCAACTATCGACGTAATAGTGAACACAAAATGTGATATGCACCAATGCCCTACTGTCCAATTTGAGCTGACAATCTCTCAGTTGATATTAAATCATTAGACCTCAACACTCCAAGCAGAGTTTTAGTAGAGAAAAGCAACAAGCAGACAGACATATTTTCATGAAATATAGTAATGTGAATAGATTTATAATTTACTTACCCCGAATCTAGTTGCACTTTGTACCACAAACCAACATCGGTGGTTCTACTTTGGTTGTCATCATCACATGATTTCTTTTTAACAATTTTTGGAGATTTGCATAAATACTTCACTATCCCTTTCTCCTTGGATTTACAACTACCTGATGCACTAACATTGCTTGGAGGTTTATCTTTCAAGTTATTTTTACTGTCACACTTGTCTGCTACATCATTTGTTGTCTCTTGAATATTCTCCTTAATATTGTTTGGGGTGTCAACAGTAGGGTCAAAAACTATCCTCACTATTTTACCTTCAAACCAGGCACCCTCTTCCTGACTTCTAACATCAATTAAATCACCTATCTGATACAGTACACTCTCAGCATCTATGAACAAAAGATTAGACATTAAAATATATTTTCTATAAGGTTTATATGTACAATAATTATTATTACACTAGATGAGTGGACAAATGTTGTCCTGTCTTAACTATAAATATTAACTCTGTGCATTGTACATAGAAGGCGAACATTACAGAAAACTAAAAGACCATAATAATATTATCTTTTCTAAGTTCTGTGCAACTGTCTTAATTTTTCTTCCATAAAAACAAAAACAATTAGCCAAATCAATCCAGCCATTTAAGAGTGGTGCTGTAACCAAGGCCAATAGGGACTAATTTAGAATTATATACACTTAGGTCACAGTGGTCAAGTGGTTTAGCTTACTGCTTTAATAGTTGCAGGTTCGTTTTTTGTATGATAGAATCAAAGTCAGAGAACACTTTAGACACTTTAGTGACACATAATGTTTTTTTTACGAGCCTTATTTTTATTTTATATGTTTTTATATTTATTTTATAATGTTATATTCAGGAACATGTTGGTTTGACTTGTTTTTGGTGTGTGTCAGAATATGTTATTAATAATTTAACCTTCTGAAGGTAGGCATTTAAAATACCAATAACCCAACCAACATACAGAAAATGAAACATTTCTTATATTATAATAGTAAAGAATCAGATAATAAACATAATAAAGAGCAAACCTGTGTAATTATCTTCATTTTTGGTATCAGTGCTTTTCTTGTCTTTGGCACTTTTTATATCTTTTTTAAGCTCCTGAGGTTCAACATGGACTACTAGTTGAATAACATCATTAATTTTGATATTATAATCATGGAATGTATAACCATTTTCCAACTGAAAGCAAATTTTATTTACCATTAAATTTGTACGTACCTGTAGCACACCCATACAAATAGTACAGTTTAAACAGACAACTTGGTAAAAAGTCTGGAGACCCTACATTATTAAGGAATTTGTGTCTCGGTATTAATAGATTGACAAAAAAATTGTAGGTAAAATTTTATTTCTTTTTTGTACTTAAGAAATAATCCTGCCTTTTGTGCATTATTCAGTTAATTTGATATAATATCCCCTCAACATGTTCAACACCATATTTAAGTGTCCTATTTCTCACATAGGGACTGGCATTTTTTTTAACGTTAATTACATATTTTTAGTGTACAATAACTTGAGGTTATTTAACCCCTAGACTTATTTCAATTAGTGCCCATAGGTGACCCTTTGGTCCCAATGTGTAAATTTACTTTAGTTGTGTAGTGTAACACAGGTGGGCAAGCAGTCTTTAACATGTTAAAGGTTGGTATATCTGGTTAATAATATTATTAATAAATTAATCTGAAATCTGAGTCTACTGTAATTACATTATCTATAGGTGTAAATTTAAAATTTTCCTTAGTTACGATTAGCATGTTGTCTTGTAATCATCTTGACAGACAATTGTATTGACTAACATGTAAGGTTGAAGGAAATTAACATTGCATGGGTAATTAAATTAATTTACTAACAAAATAAGAAGAAGACAAAAGAACATTCAGGAAGAAATTGTGACCATTTACTATGACATGCCATGACTACAGTGTCTTGGGTTTTAAAAGGAATTATATTGTTGAAGTACTTAAAAAAAGGTGAAACCTTGAATGCAGCTTCATATGAAGCCAATTTGTGGAAACCTATCAAAGAAAATGGCGAAGAAAGCTGACTATGTGTACTGTGAGAGATTGTGGTTTCAAAAAAATTAATCACCCGCCGCATTATACCATAGGCCACCTGGCACTGAGCAATTATTATTTGCTTCCAAAAGGCCTTCCCGGCAAACAATTTTACAACAATGAAGGCAGCAAAGTGTGAGGAATTGAATCCGCGCCATTGAATATAAATACAATATGTATACTTACCAATTTTCCACCGTAAAATAAACGTTGTAATTTTGGGTTAACATTAAATTTTTCTTTAACAATTTTACGAAACTGATCTATTTTGGTTAATTTAGATTCAACTACCACTATGGTATCTGGTTTACCAAATGTTCTTACACGCACGTGCATTTTAATCAAGTATAATAATTAACAAACAATACAACACATATATTGATATTAAATTTAGAACTTCATAAATGTGAAATGTGTACATCAACTAAATTGTTAATGAAATTATGGAAAAAATGGCGCGAAAATTGTACGTCAAGAAACCAAGCCAAGACGTAACGAACGATAGTAACAAAAGGAAATACGTTTGATAAGTACGTAATCAACCAACCAATTTAAACCAATATTCTTTAAATTTTTTAACTATTTTTACGGCCCTGGAAAATCCCTTTCAGGAAAACAATTACACTATATACATAAGAGTTAGCTATTATTTAATTAATACGACTAGTGCGTTATTATATTATTGAGGTTGAAGACATATTTAAACAGGTAAGTTACAGTATTTTGTAGAATATATCGCTAGAGGTGTGATACTTTTTTATTACAGAAACTTATCTAAGCCTAATCTAACTAAGCCCTCTCTCAAAATAAAAAAAGTTTTTTGCTATCACTGTATAACACATAATTGGTCAAATACCTCAATTTTATTTTATGCAAATGAAAGAAACTGTTTATATGAGTACTATTAATCGATGTAATATATTTTCTAGTTGCTACTTTTATTTTGGAATATCATGTTAATCTGTAAATTTCTTTTTGAATGTCTATTATATACTATGTTACTTTTAATATTTTCGTTTTTGTTCCTTATCTATGTCAATTAATAAATATTTTTTTTATTAAGGACGGCAACACCGACCATTTTTTACATTGTGATCCCAAATCCCATTATAAATAACCTCAAATTTTTAGTTTACTATATCTGTAGGGTAGAAGTGGCATGAAAGAGCCATGATGATAGAAAAGATGTTTTGTTTTTCTTTATCTATTATTTATTTATTAAAGTAGGTAATTTCATACAAAAAACCTTAAACATTATATGAAAGTCAACGTCAAAATTAATTTTTTTTAAATGTGCCTTTTGGCTCTTTCATAACATTTCGGTATTGAAAGAGTTAGTAAAAGTTGTGCAAGAGCCGGTCTATATTATAAACTGTAATTATGATATATATATGAAATAATAATAATTACACTAATGACATTTTAAAGATTTTTTTAAAATTATCAGTTATTTTAAGTAATTATATTTTAGTTATTTACTTAAATTTAAGATTAGGAATTTTTTGGAAATTTTGGAATTTAAAATATAATTTTCTTAAAATTAAAAATGTCTCGCAAAAGAAATTTAATGAGCCCAATCAGAATAAATTTTGCACTGAAACCAATCTTGGTCGCTGTTTTCATATAATTTATTGCAGATTACGCAATTTAAATAAATATTTGTTTTGCTTCCAATAACCGATTGGAAGCAAAACAAATAAAAATAATGAATATTTTTCTTTGTTTTGCTTCCAATAACCTTTTTTTTTTACTTCAGCTAATACGATGGAGTCAAACGAATCAGAGTCATCTTGCAGCGTGAATTTTTTATTTTTCCTTGATTTTCTATTGAGAGTATTTATGGACTGTTTTGTGGTCATGGTCTTAATAATAATTTTTGTTCTTTTTGCATTCTCTTTCTCTTCTAATTTATTCTTTTCAGGAGTGTCAGTTACAATGACTGACGACATTTTTCTACTATTGCGTGTCGCGTTTTGTCTTTTCCCCGCTTTAGAAAATGGTCTAATCATTGGTGACATGACACACACATGATGACAGTACGGTGGGAATGTAACTATAATGATTGAGTTTTGTCTAGCAAATTCAACTACTCTGAGATTTACGTGAGAACTGTGATTATCCAATAATATCAGTACTGGATTCTCATTTGATGGTCTAATATGCATCACAAAATGTTCAAGCGCTTTAACAAAACGGTCCTCAGTCATCCATCTAGAAGTTTGAGCCAATCCCAGAGCTCGAGAACTAGCTGTCCCGGCAAACGTTGTTTTGCCTTAAAATAAAAAAAAAATAGGGTTGGACTACCCCTAACATTTAGGGGGATGAAAAATAGATGTTGGCCGATTCTCAGATGATTGGTGACGATGCTGCAGCCTGTTTCGTCGGCGTTAAAAATCATATGGAGGGGAAAATTGTATTTGCGTAAAATAGTGCTTAGTTTAGTTTAGTTTCTATTATATTTATATATACTTGAATATAATTATAATCCACACCAATTGGGTAAAAAATATATCTCTATAATAATCTAATATTAATAATGTAATATAGCTTATTAGAGAGATGTGTCAACTCGAGTTAACTCGAGTTGAATTCTGCCAACTCAAGTTGAAAGAATTCAACTGGTAAATGAATGAAACAAGTGAAAGAGCGAGAGCATGTTGGTGACACTGGCACATCACTACTCACTCGATCGCCGCTTTTATATGAAAAATGTATATTGTCAAAAATCTATATTGTACGTTCACAATATTATATTTACAAAATAAACTATTTATACAAAACGAGTCGTTTTTCCATCGATCAAGCATATCAGAGCATGATTCTGTCATCGAACTGACAATGACATGAAATTTTCCGATCATTTCATATCATACAATTTTCACTCGTCACAAATATTTCAATATCGATTTGAGGTTGTTATCATTTTTTTTTCGTATATTCGTCCGATTATGTTGTCACTAAAATGATTTCAACTCGAGTTAACTCGAGTCATGTTTATAACGAGTCAGCACATCTCTAGATTATTATGTGTAGAAAAATGATAAATAGTGATGCTAAACATGTTATCATAATCGATTGATCAATTTAAATATATAAATAAAAATATTTAATATATTAACTATTTATTAGAAATATTCGGCTTGATAATATATTATCAATCGAGCACTACGTATTTTCTAAGTTAAATAAGTAGGTACGTAGCTAGATTAACTACAGCGACCTCTAAATTTAACCAGAGAAAAAAGGTACATATTATAAAAAACACAAGCAACAAACAATAATAAATTAGCAAATTTAATTGAAGTAATAAAACTATACACAGTTGTAATAGCAATTAAAGTTCAGTATTTATTACAGTCTCCGATAAAATATTTAACTTCTTACGGACTACCAGATCCAATCAATAAATATCAAAATGATGCCTAGTCTAACCAGTACTTTCATATTGTTTCTATTTAATACATTTTTTTTAAGTAAATATGTATTCTCAAAGGTATCGTCTATGGTAAGCTAGCTAAATAATTTTACATAAAGCAAATTAAGTATATGTCGAATCAAAATCCATTACACACAATTGAAATAGTCGTGAATTCTATTTATAATCTATTCCGAATTTAATTAGCTACTAGATTATTCATGTAATTGTTAATTTGTTCTATAGCACCCCATTTTAGTCGCTCGGTCTTCATTGGATTGGATGCCAAGTAGAGTTAATTCTCTCTATTCCGACGTTGGAGCTTGGAGTGGCAAGTTTGTAAGTTATGAATTCTTTCATTTATGTATATAGTCATTATCGTCTCAGCTATTATTTGTCCGTCTGAGCGTTTATTACCTTGACTTACGCCCAAATTATATTTCGGGCCAACTCTTCGGTAAGGGAAACACCAATATCACATTAAAATTTAATCTGAGTGACTGCTTCAGGATCTCTCCGCGCCACGTTAGATTCAATATATATCGAGCTAAATATAGCGAATTATACGCTCATACGTCTCCTGCGCACATTCAACTCCTAGGGACTTCCTGAGACCATACCACCAATATCCATATTCCTTCTGATTTTCTTTGATTAGAATAAATAAATAAAATCATATTTCCTATCCATCTACTCTCCAGCCGCTTAGGTAATTCCCTGATTTTGGGGTGAGGTCTCAATCCTCCCATATGTACCATATTAAATATGGTACGGTATGGTATGGGATAAAAAAATTACTGCCGTGGTGTTTACGTAATATGAAAATATTTTTTTAAATATAGAGACCCGTAATGGATGAGATTGAATCAGATGAAGCATTAAGATTCTATCAGTTTCTAAATTACTTGGACGGTGGAAGTTTTGGCACGGGTAAGTGACTATTGACTAAGTTTATTTTACTGCGTACTTAAATAATTATAATTGTTTACGTCATAGTGAAGCCTAAAATTAAATATTGATTCCGGCTTGTCTAGAAAACGTTGTTTGCTATATAGATTATTTTTAGATAGGGTTACCCTTGTCACCTAAGGACATAATCTTGAAGGAGTTCGTTATACGTTTCTGTATATATTACATTTTATTTATTACGCACGTTAAAGAGTATGGTTTGTCTTCTTAATTCAATAATATCCATACTGTTTCCTTCTTTTTGTAGATCTGATAACGCGAATAACATTTTGTTTTTAAGGTCCCATTGATGAGTTTGTTGAAGCAATGAATAGATTATCAAACTATATGAAACAGCAGAATAGTAGAGAAACCCAGGCAAGAGGCATGCGAGAACTTGAAGCAATAAATGGAGAAAAAGGTACTGGTATAATGGCAGCATATACCTATTCTAAAAGAGGACGATCATTAATTCTAATATTAATTAATCACAAAACTTTGCAACTTCGAAAAGAAATACATAATACCAGCGGTGAATTTGAGTGTGATCTATTAAAATGGCTTACATACATTATAAGTAAGTTCCTTGTGTAATTATTGTTGCAATTATTTTGTAATAATTCTTATATATTTGTTTTATTAGGAAATAGTATTAAAACTGTTTTGGAAGTTAGTACAGTAATAATGAGAAAAAAGAGAAAATTCTTTTGTACTGGAGAGGTCAAAGAACCAATTGTTAACAACAAAATAATATGTAAGGTGAGTTATAGTCTTACAGTTCATTACAATTAATAAACCACTACCGCCATCACTAAATTAAGATCTCAAGATTAGAATGGATGAATAATAATTGGTACACCCCCTATGCTAATGGTATTGGCAAGTTTCAGGAACTAAGTTGAACTAACATTCAGCAAAAAGTAATTTTATATTCATAGCAATAGGCCATAACCATAACCATTTATAGTATTACTATTGTAACCATTTATTATAGTATTTATAATAAATGGTTGTACAATAATAATTTACCCACGTTTTTGCTAGATCTCTTATACCCTTTTATCTCAATCCTAGGATAGAATACTGTTACCCATTGCTGGAACCTCCTGTCGCGATGCAATTATGTATTGGCATCCTGACCTTACAGAAGAACATTATTGTGTTGGAGCTTTAGAGTCCAAAAGCCCGGTGCACATTATGGATATCGAAGGTATGACATTCTATAAGTAACGTAATGCGCATATCGCCGGTTAAAAAATAAACAAAAATCTTATCGTACCGAGAAATTTTAATATTTATTAGTTTATCTATGTCTATACATCTTAGTTCTATTTCAAGAGAATATTGATATATACTATTCTAAATATCAGCCCTCCAACATGAAACTGAAATCATTCATGGAGCATTATAACTGAAATTGGAGAATAAATAACAATATCTACGTACTTTACTATTACTCCTATTGTCGCACTCTACGAATAAAAACTATAATATTGTTTTTATGCCGTACTATTTTATTAATCCAAATTTTTTTTTAGGTGAAATGTTTTGCAAAGGTGATGATTATTCAAAACGCGAATATCTTTTAGCATGTGAATTTTATGAAGATCAAGAGGCACCTGTTGCTGATTTACTGCAGTATTATCCTGATCCAGATCCAGAAATTAGTCCTAAACTGTTTTAAATAAGAAATTGCAATAATATTTGTAAATTAAAATTTATGTAACGTTACAAAGTTTATCATAAGAAAGATAGTATTTTATCAAAGAAATATTGGATAAATTAATAAACATAAACATGTTTATTAAAATGAAAACCGTGTGTTTTATCAATTAATCAAAACTGTTTACCTCGATTTAGCTCTACAAGTACTACACTAGTAGTTCTATAACGTTACGTAACAGTTGTACCAACTTATCTGTGAACGGGTGTCGCCACCGTCGTTTCAGTGTTGCTAATTAATTCTAATGTGCACAAAAGTTGGGAAAGTCGATACATTTTTATTCATATCGTTTAGTTTGTATTTATGATAAATTATAACACCACATTTATATATATGTAGTTATGCATCTATCTACTGCGATAGCCTTTTAACAAAGAGGTTAAGGGTTTCAATTGTTAAGATTGAAACCTTCTTGTTAAAGACCCATCTAGATATCAGTAGTATGCCTAGTTAGGAGATGTAAGTAAAAGATAAACAAAAAAGATTTTGGGATTTATTGAAAACGACATTTGCAATAATTATGGTATAACACAGTTTTTGAAGAATGTGCAAAATCATCCTGGGTGATAAGCCATACTCCTTCCAATTTTAGAAATTAGCCCTTGACTTAAACCTGTAACAAATATTTTGTGATTAAATATGTGAGGTAGAAATAAATTCATTGTATTCATATATTTGTAAGAGACGAGTGGCGACTGTGGATAGAGCGTCGTTATCAATAATTTAAATAATCACAGAGTGACTATTTTAAAATATTAACAACTGATTTATAAATATGTTATTGATAGCCTTTTGTATTTGACGGAATTTGAGAAAATTTTACCCTTCATAAAACAGGTCTAAAATAACAAATCGGCCTGAAAGTTGCTACACCCGTCTTGTACAAGCAAGTTTTATCTTATATGCAAAAAAATGTTCAATCCTCATATTTGTCTCCATCCTAATATCATTTTGGGTAATTTATATAGTAAAAACTGACAACACTAACCTGTTGCAGCCGTTTGTATATTTGATTAAACGGAACGATCGGATTCTGCAGCCGAGCTTCTTCTTCAAAAAATTGTTTCACCTTTAGAATAATACTCCGGGCATCACTTTGTATAGCTTTCGGCATATTTAACGCTTGAATTCAGAAGTATCGCAATAAAACACACGAAATCCTCGAAAGTAGTAGACACTGACATTTCAACATGGCGACCGTTGTTCCTATTTTTGACACTTCTCAGATACGTTGGTGACACTACATCAATATTTATAATGTGATGTGATGACAATGTCTTTGTCTCCCTAATTTTGAAACATATATACCTATATATTTATACGTTACCTCGATATCGATGAAACTTTAAATAATTGATACAAAGATATGGACTACGGATAAGACTTAAATTTTGAACACGAATGAAAACATAATAAATAAATATACATAAGAATTGGCCTTTGGCCTCATCACTTGTTCAAATATGAAGAAGTTTAAAAGTAGACTAGGCTGTACGGTCTAAGGATCTTTGCCTGTTCCATCACTGAAAAGGAGATGGACGAATATGGAAAAAAAAAAAAAAATGTCTTTGTCTCCTCTGTCAAATATCAATTCTAATAGCAATGTGTAGTCAAGATTTCGTTAGTATAATTTTTGAAAGTAACTATGAAAGTTTTCAGTTACAAATGTACACCTATAAATTTTATTATTTATATTAGTCAACCTTATAATAACTGTGTTCTTTTATAAATTGCACATATTTTGGCGGTTAAAGTTGTTGTGTTAAATTAAGTTACAAAACAGAGCAGGGAAAAACGATATTAATTATAGTTAATTAGTTTTTGTAATTCGACGATTACCGTAGACATCTCTTAAATAAAATTTAATTGGTTGAAATTTAAATTCTTTTAAATAATAATCGATTTATCTCTATGGAGCTTCTTTATAATCTGTGGCTATTTCACAGATTAATGACTTAAATCTCTATCTATATTTATTTAGCTGAAGATTAGGCTGTATGGTCTCGTACCTTGGCCTATCCACTTGTGGATAAAATATACTACTACTACTATTATATTTATTTAGTTTTGTTACCCGCGTTAACCGACTATTACCGTTACTGTTCTGCCGCTCAATTCATATGAAATAACCGAATCCCTCACTTTATTTATAACACATACACAATATTTGTATGGTGTTTAATGGTGATTTAAATTTAGAGCAAAATATTTCTGAGAGTATTTTTTAATTAATACTCATAATTATATTACCTTTACTGAATTAAAATGCAGAGGGCATTTCCATCGGAATTATAGGTTATCGGAGTGTGTGTATCCTTAAAAATTTTCGCGTAGTGCGAACAAATTTTGTATTTTCTCGTGTAGCTACAATACTTTAAAAATGGGTGACGAAAGGGTGAAAATGCGTAAACAGTTGGGCTTGTTAGAGGGAGTGGCGATAATTCTGGGAATAATATTCGGTAGTGGTATTTTTATTTCCCCTAAGGAAGTTATAGAAAAAACTGGTTCAGTTTGGGGAGCTTTATCAGTGTGGGCAATATGTGGTGTCCTGGCTACTCTTGGTGCTTTATCGTATGCTGAATTGGGTAGGTATATTTATTTTCATGGTCCAGCCTACCAGTGTATACATTTGTCTAAATACTTTCATAAAGGCAGATCGCCAGATTCTTTTATCGGCGTGTTCTAACTTACGCCTTTTTTTAAATAAGCAATAAAAATATTTGGCACAACAACAACTGTAATTTAAATCTACACTATGCGCTGCTAGATAGGATTTATATTAAAAAAAATGCCATTTTTGTTATTATTTTTTACTGTTAACAAAAATGTATCTGAGTTTTATATCAGTTGTCTATTACCCAAAACACAAGCTCGGCTTAGCTTGGGACTAGATTGTGCTCTATGAGTTGTCCAGTTCTGTCCATATTTTGTTATATAATCAGATTGTTTATATTCTTACTTTGTTGCTTTATTTGAAAATTTAAGCTGTGGTTGACTTAGAAATTATGTGAGATGTTTTTTTTTAATTTTCTGTCCCTCCCTCCCCTCCTGATGAGATGTGAGATTTATTCAACTGAAAGAAAAAAAAAATTGCTTTATGCTATTATTTATGACTACTTAAAACTTTTTTTCCTCTTTCCAAAGTAAGGTTAGATGAGATTTGACTCAACCCCCTCCCCCCCCCCTTAAACATCTCATGTTTAAGGGGGGGGGGAGCTAGGTTCTCTAGGGGCTCAGCTAGGTCACTATTCCAGTTTAGTTCTAAGTGGTCTAGTGGTCTAGTACTCATCATTTTACTATCTATTGGTGTGGGTTCAATTGACCTAACTCAAAGCAATTATAATTATAATATAATAATTTATATCCATGAATTGATATAATCATATTCATGTTGTTTTAAATGATTGCTCGTATCTATAAAAAAATATATGTATTTATATCAGTTGTTAGGTACTACACCAATAACACTTGCTTAGCTTAACACTAGTTAGCACTGTGTGAATTGTTCTGAGATATTATTATTATAATTAAGATCTGAATAAATATTCATTTAACTATAGTTTATAGAAGTAGAGTCAAATTGTTTGTTTATATTTCAAGTGACAAATATTATTGCTTCTCTGAACAGGTACAACATTAGCACAGAGTGGTGGTGACTATCACTACATAAATGAAGCCTATGGACCTCTGCCAGCATTTCTGTATTTGTGGGATGCCAACCTTGTATTTGTGTAAGTATCTCATTTTGGCAAATGACAATTTACCAGGGCGTTAAGGTGAACCTGACATGGTACGACCTGCTATATTTTCTATTACATTTTTAGTAGTATTCTACCGTATTTTATTTAAGATGATGGAAGGTAAGGTACCTATGTTAGGTGACCAAATAATGTAAAGGATAGGCAGCCTTGGCTGTCAAGAGGTTTATTATTATAGGTATATCACTTTACTTCTAATGGTTATTCTCGCTTAAAACAAACATTTATATGTGTGAATATGATTGTAACCATTCTTACAAAAGTATTGTGTCTGTTAGATTGGTTATATATTTATTTCCATCAGTTGTTTAGTACCAACTGTACACACTCATTCTAGTATGAGACTAGATGCTGCTCTGTGAATTATCTTATTCTATTGTATGGTATAAACCATGGAATAGAATATCTATCCAAGTGAATTTAAACCTATTTGGCTGGTGTAAAGAAAGTTATAGCCTAATCCGAACCCTGAGGTACTAATACCATTTCTGCACTATTTCGTGCTAATAATGTATTGGTTGCTGTTGGTGCAATCCTAGATAAAATAGTGTATTCATTCACCCATAAACTACGGTCGATCTTTTCAATAACGTTTTATAAAAATCAAGACATGACGAAATATAAATTTAGCTCGAGGTTACTTGCAAGATCATGATAAATTAATCTGAGAAAACTTTTAATTACTGAATGTACATTGTCATCCTATTACTAACGATTAAGTACGACATCCGTCTTAATTCTGCTGCCTTTAATCGAACTCGTATCATAAGAGTGTAAGGGGCCCGTTACACATTATCATCGTAAACACATTATATATGCCTATAAATTTTTACGTCATGGTACGAAAATTAATCCATTTTTTTATAAATAGAAATATGAAAACTTATGGCCTATATAAAACTGACGGCCTCGGTCGTTTAGTGGTCATCAGTTGTCTAATCTCTATAACACAAGCTCTGCTTAGCTTGGAACTCGATGGTGCTGTGTAAATTGTTCTGAGATATTATGTTTATAAAAACATCAGGGACGTAATAAAATATATAGTGAAACTGGAAGCTGTGGTATCCCGAATCACAACTTAAAACGATTTTATAACTATGTAAGAGAATTGAATAAACTCAAAATGTTTTCTTGCATGTTATTTTTGTCAACAGACCGAGTACGAATGCAATTATGGCGCTGACTTTTGCTAACAATATATTGGAGCCAATATTTCCGAATTGTCCTATTGATCCGATGTGTCGAAAGATGATAGCAGCCGTAACTATATGTAAGTGCTTAATATTTATATGTATAATAAAAATGTAAGTGATCGCTGTCTGATGATGACTCTAGGAAACACACCATGTAATATATATGAGGAAAATTGGTATTATGGAACTTTATAAACATGTCAGAATACAAAATCATGCATTAATTTGTATCTGTTTGTTATTGCGTTTGGCTTAATCGATTTGGTTAAGATTTTTACAAATGTTGTGTTATATTTGGGTGTAATGTTTGTTCTTAAATGTGTTTGTTTATATATGTCTCAATTTTCTATAAATTTATTATATCGGTTTACTTGAGAGGTTTGGGTTATATGAATATTCTTTATATGATAATTGTCTTTCACTTTCTCAAAAACAACGAAACAACTTTCCGAACAACCCAATATTATGTATAAGGTATAATATATACCGTCACAAATTATCTATTTATATTTGTGGTATGGTGTTAAACGCTGTGTTCATATCCTTAGATTTATCTATTTATTGTTACAGGTTTCCTCGCGTTCATTAATGCTTACGACATAAAATTCACAACGCGAGTGCAAAATGTGTTTATGTTTACAAAAATTTCCGCGCTATTCGTTATCATTATTGCCGGCCTTGTTTGGATCGGAAAAGGTACGTCCAGGCGCATTAATTAATTTAATTAATCACAAACATACTGTAATTTATAGAGTCATATAAGGATGTTTAGTTAATTATATTATACAAACTTTATCCCGCGACATTGTCGTGTGAATTCGGATATATAGCATTGTATTTGTTAATCTATGCTGTTGTATCTGTGTACTGTCACATATTTCGTTTGAATTCGTCCATTGAATGCGTTTAATCATGTTCTCAGTAATCTGATCTTATTATTATTAAATATAGTATGAAAAATTACTTGCATGGCTAAACAAGTTTAAGTTTAATAAATTCCGTTGAATTCCTCTTTGATTTTTTACATCGTCCATTAATGAGTGAAATGGTCTTCGTGATGCTTTTAGGTGGTGTAGAGCACTTCCAGGATGGATGGGCAGGCACCAAGACATCCGTAAGCGATTGGTCCGTCGCGTTCTATTCCGGAATATTCTCCTATTCAGGCTGGTAATTTTTTTTTCTAACTCCACATGGTATTTTTTTATCTGATTATTAAAAAAACTTTAATTTCTTAGAGGAAATGAGAGCAGTTAGGTATTTAATTCAGTACCGGTAATTAATGCAATACTGCATTAACACAAAAAAAATATTTTTTTAAAGTTCTATATCTTTTTGACTTTAATTAATTAAAAAAAATGTCTTACAATTGTCACATTTACTTACTATATACTTATATATATATTTAGGAATAAATCCCAATTTAATCAACTCATAGTATTTTGAAAGCGTTAGATGATTGAGGTCAAAGATCCAACGCCAATTTGTGGATCTATTCAAATTTCTGACTGACTCCGAATATGTATAATGATTGTTTATTTCTATTAAAATTATAATAAATTTACAGGAGTTATCTTAACTTCATGACTGAAGAGCTTAAAGATCCATTCGTGAATTTGCCCCGAGCTATTTACCTCTCCTTGCCGTTGGTGACAGCGATATATCTACTAGCTAATGTGTCATACCTGGCTGTACTCGGCCCGGTCGGTGTACAAGCCACAGAGGCTATTGCGGTGGTTAGTATTTACTAGAATATAACATAATCGGGTCTTTGAAACCGTATAAATAGATGTAAGCTTTCCAAAGGGAAATCAATTTATTAACTTATGAATTAATCACACGAATAGGATATTGTCTACTTAAATTTTGCATATTTTTCTGTGTTAACTTACATTGTTCTCTCTCGTATTACTATCCTAATTCTTGTATGCTTTCCCCTTTCCTTCTTGTCACAATTTTTAGGATTGACAGAATTGTAATGTAAACATATATGCACGATGTGGCTATGTCATAGAATGATTATATCTAATTTATTTAGGATGCACATTTTATCTTTTTTGTGCACTAGTGATTTCTAGTTATTTACACATTTATTACAAGGATCTAATGTCAAATAAATAAGGACTATATTAATATGTCTCGGTATGCCGGCTTCGGTCTAGCGGTTTATCACACCGCTTTTATGTTAGATGGTCGCGGGCTCGATTCTATGAATGGTACAAATATATCTATTTATGATTATGATTATTTGTATTGATCTGGGTGTTTTCTATATGTATGGATTTACAAGAAAACTCACAGTTGCTTGCGCTTGCTTTCCCGCGGTAAATCGCGCTCTTTCCTGATCACGGGAAGGATCGTGTAAAGACAACAAATAATATTGTTACATAATTAACTCAGATTTGATAGAATTGACAGAACATGAGTTTAAAGATAAATTGACCAAATGGCTGTTAGTGCACTGTTTTTACTGTCAAAACGATTATTTGAATTATAAACATTATGAATACAGATAGTAGTTATAAAAACAATATACTAACATTTTTTAATTGTTCAATATCAATATCTTGTTCAATCTTGTTTACAGGACTTTGCAGTTTCAGCGCTGGGCTTCGTAAAGTGGGCGATGCCGACGCTGGTAGCAATAGCGGTGGTTGGCGGTCTGTCTGTCCACATAATGGCCTCGTCCCGGATGTGTTTCGCTGGCGCTCGCAATGGACATATGCCTGAACTCCTAGCACATATAAATTTTAAGTGCATGTCTCCAATGCCCTCATTAGTATTTCATGTAAGTCAAAAATACCAGGCGTAATGTCATAATTGTTGTACAACCAATTATTGCCAGAGGACTAAGGTCGTGTGACGGCCTCGGTGGTCTAGCAGTTTAGTGCACCGTTTTACTAATGGTCGCTAGTTCGATTCCTCGCACGGTGCAAATATTTGTATTCATGAGTATGATTATTTGTATACAACCATTTATTGTTGTTCCGGAGGACTGTGGTCATGTGCCGCTCTGCTTAATGATGGTCGTGTGATCGATTTGTGACATGCCCACATTGCGCTCGGTCATTACCGAGCGTCACTACCACTGCGTGCATGGTTATGCACGTTTGTCATTACAAACGTCCTTAGCCATTTTTTTACATACACTGGACTTTCACTTAAATTTAGACATGTCTATTTAACTGAACAATGTGAACAAACGAGCTTCTGAAATAAAGAAATCAGTTTAGTGTTTGCAAGTTCTTAATTTAATGTGTATACTGAACTGAATAGTAGGGGATTAAATAATTTTAATACAAAAAGCGGCTAAAACGTTACGATCATTTAGTCTAAGTTGAGGCAGCTCCTTTTGCCAACTTTGTATGTTTTTTCTGATTTTATGTATTCTTGGTAATTCGAAAATGTTGGCTATATACGCTTTATCTATCTATCTAAGCCGACGAAGTGTACAACTTAGCCACGACGCTTTCTCTTTGGATTTGAACGTGTAAGTATTTCAACAGATGGTGATGTCTGTGATAATGCTGATACCAGACAATCTCACGTCGCTGATTACCTACTGCACTGTGGTGGAGTCATTCTTCACAACGCTCAGCTGCAGCGCGGTGCTGTGGCTGCGGTACAAGAAACCACATCTGCCCAGGCCTATCAAGGTTAAACTTTATCCGTCAGGAGTTGGTTCTCAGTCGCCATATATTTTTATATCACGTTGTAGCTAAAAATTGCGAGACAAAGTATTAAATACACAACCAATTGAACTTTATCTTAATTCTTCCAGCAGTTTTTACGTTCAACCTTTATATTTTCTGTATTTGTATTTATTTTACGATTTTTTTATATGTAACGATTATTATTACTGTATGGAAAAATATACAATCTTTTAAAGATCTTAGCCTGTCTAGACCTGCAGTAACTTGTACAGTAGAACGTGTATATATAACTGCATTAGCGGCCTCCTACTAAATTGTATAGAAGGTGAGTTGACAGCTACTTACTCAGTCACAAGTCCCGGGAACTGCTCGGAGTTTCTCTGCCACAGGACTGACCCGGCACCCACACTGTGACTCCATGGAATTCTAAGAAGTTGGTCTGTTGACTTTCATAAGTGACAAAAAGCCCTGAAAGAATAAATGGTTTTAGAATTTGAATTTATTTAAATTATTGTCACAAACAGGTCCAGCTTTGGATGCCCAGTTTGTTTGTGGCGGTGTGCGCGGTGTTGCTGGTGGTGCCTATAGTCAGCGAGCCGGTGGCGGTGGTGGCCGGCGCTCTCATGACGCTGGCCGGGGTTCCGGTGTACTTCGGACTAGTCAGGTCCAAGCCTGAGTGCGTCAGAGATCTGTCAGGTAACTGTGGCTTTATTACCAATATTTTTACCACTACCTTTTAGTTTCGACTTGGTGTAGCCACAACCGATAGTCGCACGTTCGATTCCTTGCAAGATGCAGTAATTTGTATTCATCAGTACAGTATATTTGTTTCAATTGGTCTATGTGTTTTCTCTCAGTTGTATAGTAACCACAACACAAGCTCTGCTTATTAGTTTGGGACTGATGGCGCTGTGTGAATTGTCCTGAGATGTTATTATTATTAATATAAACAGAAAACATCCAAACCAATATAAACAAACATACAAATGTTTGCATCGTGCGAGGAAACGATCCTGCGACCATCGGAAGGAAACTATGTACTAAACAGATAGCTCACCGACTGTCTTGGGTTATTAAAATTATAAATATTAATGTAGGAATATTCATAGACAATGCAGACGTTTCGATTGCAGGCTGTTAACTATTTTTTTTTGTTGTTGCAGTTAAAATCACTCATACTTGCCAAAAGTTGTTCCTAACAGCAGTAGAGGAAGCTGAAGATTGAAATTACCATAAACATTACACTTCTGTAACAGTAGTATTCTCTATTTTGAATCTCGGCTTTTCATAATGGATTTTTTTTTATAGATAATAATGGAATTGTGCACCCGCCTGCGCTAATAATTTACGCTGGCAGGGCACTAGTGGTGGATGATAAATTTAGTATTAGGTTATGTCAGTTAGTCCATTGTATTAATTTCCCCTGGATTTTATCACGGTGGTTTCCAGAGGGAACGGCTTGGAGGAAAACCTGACATGGTTTATTGCTAACAATGAGATCGTTAGTCCACATTACTAACAATCCCTTCCCTGCTTACAATGGTATTATAAATCACAAATTATACTTTTTTATAATATGTATTGAATAAGAAATTTTAATAATGAAGTCTCAATTACGGGGCAATCGCCAGTGAACTGGTATTGAAAATATTGTTAATTAATTACTTTGGTGCTGCTTTTTCATACAAAAAATGTTATACTCATATTAACAATAATAATTAATTGTAATATATGTGTAATTTTGTACTTTTATACAATTTGTATTAAGTATAATATATAAAGCTAAAGATTGTACCATGCCAAAAGTCATGCAGATCGCTTTTGTAAGTGTCATAATAAGAAACAAATTGAAATACTTATAATAAATTATGATGTTTCCGTAAATGTCGTTATTTAAACATCTTTATATCGTTTTGTATATTTTTGTGTATATATAAATAATACGCATACTGCATAGTTTATATCTATTTTAAAAAATGTTCTTTTCCTTGATTTTTCAGCTTTGTATGTCATTTATAGGTTGCCTGTTTCATACTTAAATATATTTTTACGTAAATAATAATATAGTGTTTATTGACACTTATATAAAAAGTATTAATTACATGATTCTCTATTTCTATAATTGTCATTGGATTAATGAATTTTGTTGAATTGCATTGCAAGTGCTTCGCCTAGAATCAGTCAGCCTGTAAAGTATTATTTTATTGATATAAGCATAATGTATATTTCAAATATGGAATTTTTCTGTGATATCTGTGTCACACTCGAAATAAAGATAATTAACTAGAAATGGAGTCCGATCTCTTCTAGTTGATTCTATTTACGTAAGCAGTCAGTCAGGTAATGTAAGTACCTGTATTATGACTGACTTATATTTGAATCTCTCTGCCTACTTGGATACATATGAAATAACTAAAATACAGTACATAAATTGAGCTGGAACTCGATGTTCCCGTTGATTGTATACATAAGCAATTAGTGAATTATGTATGTTTCACATATGTCAACGTTATGCACACTCTATATGCATATAACAAAATAGATGGTATAATAATATAATTTTTAGAGTCGTAGCCACTATTTATTACTAATCCAAATAAATTGAAACTTGCAAAATATAAAGTTGTAATAAAATACATGGTACAAAGATCACAAAGTACAAAACCCTTTACCCTATTTACTTGTTAATGAAGTATTAAATTTTCGTCGGTCACTATATATGGTACATATAATAACATAAACGTGCCATTGCTTTTTATTAGCAACCCTGTGTTAGTTTTAAATTGTATGTGAATTTAGTAAAGTTTGCGCCAAATAACTTGACCAGAGACAATAAATCTTACGCTGTAATATATGTACGTACAATCGTTACTGCGCAAAACTAGAGTTTTTTGCCACTAACTATAGATATTTAAATGTATAAGTTTTCTTTTGGTTTGAGTTTTATTTTTTCAATAGAATGAATATGGTTGTGTTTGCAGTATTAAATATATATTATTATTTGTCTTTGTTATTCAAAGTAAACAAATTAATACATGTATAAAATTTGATATAGATTTATTATAATTACAATATTGCTATAAATTATATAATTGATTCTAAATCAGTATATATACTATTATTTACTCTAAACTGGGAGATTAATATGTACTCGCTAATGTATAAATAATGAATTCCCATATACTCATCCGTTGTATATTTCCCTTTTAATGTTATACTTCTAGTATGAACAACAACAATTCTTCGTTATGTGAAACTCGTGGTACTTTCATGCGTTCTCATTCTATTTTTTTTGTTTTTAAAGTCTTCTGCATAGTTATGCTTGCCGGTGTCTCATTTTATAAGAATGTTTACGATATTTAGAATTCTTAATGAAGCTATGTTGAGTATAAAGCAGAATATCCGTGGTAAGTTTCACATCTTGAAAGAAATAAACAAATAGACAGTAAAGATTGCACGGTCTACGGACTTGCATTTATATTGTTAACCTAGTTTTAACACGAATAATATTAGCTAAATATAGCTAGTTACTAGTCAGCTTGTGACTATGTCTAGTGCAAACTAGTTAAAACGTCCAGAAAGATAAATACCTTTATTTACCATAAAATTAATCTTGTTAAAACCTGGTTACCAAGCTAAATAATGTGTATTAAACATGACAGTTTAAGAATAACTATTGTATTTATGTATTTGTATTATACTGCGCAAGTATAATTTTCATTACTGTAAAATCGTGCTCAATTATTTGTCAGTTTCTATATTAATTTGTAATGGACTGAATAATACTCTCATTGCAGTGACTACATATTTTATAAGATATGTAGTATCTCTTGTAAAAGTAAAAGTAAAAGATACTGAAAATATTAATGAACTTTTTTTAACCTTAAGCTTTTGTATGAATTGTAGATGTAATATAGGATTTTTTTATTGTGAAGTTGATTTTTATTTCATTATCCTTCGGCAATTTTTTATTGTAAACTATTTGGCATGCACGTTGTACACATCGGTTGGAAAATGCACATTAAAATACACAAACTATTTAAATAATGAATTTGCTGAATGTTTTTTTATGTATGAGTGGACGTGTGTATGTAATGGATGTCTGTGAGATATAAAATGGACTTCTTTAAGAAAATCTATACACCCAAATACTCAAGCGCCTCTAGTCTTTATTATCATTAAAATTTGTTTTAATGGCTAATTACACCTATAGAATTAGCGTAGACGTATTATAAATGTGAAAGTTTGTGAGTGTGTGTATGTTTGATTCACTGATATTTGCACTTAACCCTTGATGCAACTTCACATACCCTTGGGAGCACGCATACCACTAATTGGGCAACGCCGGCGTAGACGATTCCTATTTTAAATAATAGAAGATCATTTTGTATGAGTTGTATATAAAGCAAACCCATTGCATATACCGATGTAAAAAAGTACACGACTTTCTAGGTATGTAAGTTCGATACACGTAAATATTGTTATCACTATACAAGTATAATAGGATTAACAATTCTAGCAATTTAACAAGTAATAGACCAATTATTTCTTTGAAACTGTTAACAGTTGCAAGGCAGTCTGGTCGACAGCATGTGGGTTGTGGCGCTAACGTTTTTGATATTGTTTACAGAGGTACGTTGCACATATCTTATTAGGTAATAGATGCGTAAAGTAACTTCGTACGCCTTTTTACGAGAATTGTGCGGACGGAGTAGTATGAAATTTCGCACACTTATAGTTTATGCGGAGAAGGGGTGTAGAATCAATGAATAATTATTGAAATTATATATAATTTCATACAGTCATATTAGCATAATAAAAATACATAAAATCAATAAACAAAAAATTAAACACACTACTATGTGCCTATTTGACACACATGCATAATTACTCTTTTGTTTATTGCGTGTATGACTGCCAGTGTCTGTGATTATAGAATAGTCTTTAACAATAGAATCATAATACTGTTAAAACTTATAATTTAAATTACTTATGGTCGAAATTCGACCACTAGGTGATCACTATTATATACTAGTATACCTACACAAATCTAGAGTTCAATACAGGAAGTTGTAAATTGATGCCCGATTTCCAGGGTCATGGGTCTCGTGCGCATTTCAACAACATGTCGGCGCATGAATTCACAACGCCGTCAGACGAGATTTTGCCCATGCTGCCGGACGAGAATCTCCAGGCCTCCACCGTCATCGCTGGTCTCATGCCCGACTCATTCGGTGAAATGTTCAACTTTTTAGATGGAGATAGCTTTGGAATTGGTTAGTTTCACTATTGTTTTCTACATATTTGAGATCCAAAATGTAATATAATATATATGTATCAGGTCAAGCCGCATAGGGTCGCTAGGCCTATGATAAACAGAGCTTCTGTTATGGGTACATAGTTTTTTTATAAATACATATATAATGTACGTAGAAAACACCCAGATCGATACAAACATCTATAATACTCATGAATATAAATGTTAGTACCGTACGAGGAATCGAACCCGTGACCATTGGAAGTAAGGCGGTGTGTTAAACATGGCATGGCATGGTACCTCCCTTTTTTCAATCAAAAACTTTTTTCTTGTTACTTGTAACATCAGGACTTGTCCTGTCTTTAAAATTATCGGCCAGCATTGTTTTCGGTACACCTGCAGGCCCCATGCACGAGTTCGTGTACGGGTGGCAAGCGATAGTGAACACTATGAGTATGAAGAACAACGTCGAGGTTCGCAAGAGAGCTGGACTACAGCGTTTCGCACTTGCTGGTATTAACGGCATCACTCTCATATCCCACATTGGAGCGACCGAGATTATGATTAATGGCACCAGGTCATACTGCTTCGGCGGGGTGTCGCGGCCTCCAGGCAGAAGAAGCGTTATTTGCAAGGTTTGTGCTTTACAATAACAATAATTACAATACACAATATCATCATCAGAAAGATCAGAATAGGGGTAATCAGATTAATTAACTCCTAAAAATATGGTCGAGCATAGTGATTGCTGGCTCAATTATTATACTCGTAAACAAGTGCTGCTTGCAGTAACTGGTCTGCTCTAATCACTACGACTGATTTAATCTTATTTACTTACTTAGCCTATTAATTATGGATTTAATATTTTGACTTTAATGCATTAGTTTAAACTGATAGTTTGTATTCACACATTTTAACTCAAAAGTTACAACAATTATTTAAAAGAGCAACAAGTTCAAGTTCTTAGTTGTTCTTTTTGTGATGAGACAGACTTTTCGAATGAGCGGCAAATTACAATAAATAAGTATGACTATTCAAAAGTTTTAAATTTATTTTAATAGACAGCTTTAAAATATTTCTGTAAATAAGTCACCTTCGGTGAGATATGTGTTTGTAAAAAACCGGGACAGAAATAAGGTGTTTTTCTCCCTTAGGGTGCCATGTACCAAGAAGCTCGATTTACGTGCACGGTTCCTTACCTTCGATACCCTACTGTGCTTGGGTATAAATATTGCATTGATAAGTACGCTGCAGTGAACACATTAGATGGCACCTATAAAAGTAAGTCTACCAAGCTGATTGGTATACAGGGTTAGTCCTTGTTACTATTAATTAATTGATCCCGTGTAATATTATTTCTGAAAGCTATTTTTTCATACATAAATAAACATGCATTCTTTATTACAAATATTGGCAACCCTATTCTTTGGTTTTCAATCAAACAGTCGATGTTCGTGAGGGAATGGTAAGTAGGGGGTGTCACCAAAAAAGCATGCATCCGATTTTCATTCGTAAATATGAGTAGGTACTAATAACAACAACAACAAATGACAGCTTATTTTGATGTTGATGATAGATTTTTTATTTGTAGCAACATACTGCGCTCGTGGTGAGTCCGTGCCGAAGTTCCATTACGATTACATATGCGAGCGAAAGAATATTAAAATTAAACATATTAATCTAACCGATCCTAATGAAAGATTCAATGTAAGAAACCCAGAGGTGCGCAGAGCGGAGTATTATAGAGCTCCGTTTGATATATTGAAAGCATGTCCGGATTGGTAAGAATTAATTGTCATACATTTTTTTGTAATTGCTATAAACAGATAATAATGACCCAAGACTATACACAGCTCCATGTAGTATCAAGTTAAGCAGAGCTTGACTTGTACTAGATAATTTAGATTACATAGATTATACAATACATTTTGTTGTACTTACATACATACATAAAAACAGCCAGACCGATGCAAACAGTCATAGTCATGAATATAAATGTTTACATTGTGTGAGGAATCGAACCCGGGACTATCGAAACTAAAGCAGTGTAACCGCTGCAAGTCGTTGTCAGTTGTAAGTGCATATTCTTGATAAAACAGTTAATAATGAAAAAATGTACAGTCGTAGGTAAACATTACTATTATTATAATGGTTAGTGAATTATATACATAAACCTACCAGGTATGGTTGCAACCTTCGAATTTCCCCGGAGATGCTGCACCAAGAAATGCCTGCCGCTTTGATGGATGCCAACGAAACGGCTTTTGTGGGACACGGTGGCAAATATTGGCTCGCATTGTATTACACTCAGGTAATGTTAATAGTGTGTACTAAGGAAGCAAGGGTTTTGAGAAAGATGTAACAAAAAGTATATTTAATTGGTCGCATACAATCTACAAAGTAACATATAACAAGTAGTCAGGGGCGAACGCGATTTAGTGCGTGAGAGAAAATGCACGCAATCGTAAACAGGAATGTGCAAGATTTCGTTCTCTTTGTCTACATTTACATGCACATTATTTCCTTTGTGAAACTCAATCTGCACGTGTGAGAGCATATATGTAAAAGCTATTAGCAAAATTACATTTGCGTATCCCATAATGATACTGAGAAGGATTTGAATGAAACATTGTTGACCTTCTAGGTAATGTAGGTATTCAACAAATAATCTGTTCATTTCAGTTATCTACATACGCTACGTACTTCCAAGCTCACGGAGAATATCCATGGGAGTCAAATAGGCCGATACTTTCTATTGATAAAGGTGAGTGTTCAAGCTAGAGCAAGCTTTATGGCATCGTCATTTTAAATTAGATTCAAGATTTTGTTAGTTTGCATATGGCGTCACATTTTTTATTGAATTTACTGAGATTTTCTCCGGAGAATTATTTTCCGTGTTTCTGTCATCTATGATAGATGTCGACCGTTGCTTGTAAAAAGGCAAAAGCATTTTTTTCATTGAACTATTCTAAGGCTGTTTAGCAAACTTTTACAGCTTCCCCACCCGATAGGGGGCGAGTGCAAATGGCACTTTAAACCCGTGGAACGCTTTATCGAACCTCAAATTTAATCGCCGTTTAGTTGGATGGATGGGTCTATTAGAGAGAAGTCCGCATATGTACCAATATTTTATTTGGTCAAAAAAATATTTTTAATTGTTAACTAAATATATATTTAATATAAAAATTTCAGGTGGTATTTGGGAACAGTTATTGAAAGCTAACATTGGACCGGACATGAACCTGCACTACAATCTGAATGGCATTTTCAATAGATACCCAGGAGCCGCTGTGGCTTCTGATCTAATGAGAAACGATGGACAGGTAAGTATATTAGTAGAAAAATAAAATACTAGTAGATTTTTTAAACTAATTATTCTCTTAGTGCTGATTATGGAGACAAGCTGCATTCGTAACCGCTGCCGCTTTACTTCCAATCATCGTTTGTTCGATTCTTCGCACGGTGAGAATATTTGTATTCATGAGTATGATTGTTTATATCGATCTGAATGTTTTCTATGTTTATTATATATGTATTCAAAATATATCTATTTAAGGTGTTTAGTATCCCTAAAATAAGCTCTGTTTACCGTGGGACTAGATGGCGCTGTGTTAATTGTCCAGGGTTGTTATTTATTTATACTAGTATCACGGTTCACAAGAGTTAATATTTCTTCATGTAGGTTCAGCCTGGTAACTTCAGAACAGACAGTCGTGATGGTGTACCAGAAGAACTCATTGTAGGCAATGCGCATTTGTCAGCCGACGGTCCAGGTAATTTATTTATGTCATAAATTATATAAGCTGTTTATTCATATGTATTGTTTATTATATTATATAATTTTTATTTATATTTGCACGGCCAATTATTATTAAAAATTATTTTGCACCACCCATGGTTAATTGGTACATAATGCCGCATGATGTTAAGTATGCCATATGTACTTTGAAATTATGTGCATTAAAGTTATGTAAATAAATAAATTACTTTAAAATAAGATCACGACTGTTACATCAGATGGGGTAGTAATTCGATATCGTTGTTTATGTAAATTTGGCATATGATTTGGTAGACTATTCAATGTGGTAGACTATATTCATATTTTATAGTCTACCACATTGGGGTGGTAAAGTGATGATATCTATATTGGGTATTGTGCATGTTTCTTGCTTTTATATATTATATATATTCTAAATTAGTTGCTAATAGAATTTATTATTTTAATTTTAGTTGGAGTAGGGCATTCAATATATATTCGATTATTGAATTTTAATATTACTGTATATGTTTATGTTTACGTCCCGTACGATAGGATAGAGGACGTAGTGAATGTTGTATGTGTAGATAATGTGTAGGTATTTCCCAAAAGGGCTCACAGCGATGTTAAAAATTAATTAAAAATTTAAGCGGATATTAAAAATACAAAGTTTATAAAAAGAATGGTAGATAAGCTACCTGCAACAAGTTGTGATTTATATTATACTAGCTGTGCCCGCGATTTCACACGCGTTAAATGTCGAATACATAAATTTAAATAAAAAATGTAGCCTATTTGTTATACTGATGCATAAGCCATATTATTTTAAAGTTTCATTAAAATCCGTTCAGAAGTTTTTGCCAGTAACAAACATCCATACGCACAAACTTTCGTGTTTATAGTATTATTAAGATTCAGATTATCAAATAAAATTTGCAATATTTGACAGTATGTGGTCGTAGCAGCTGTTTATCGAAATACCAGTATAGTCGCATTTTCTATTCACAATAAAAATATGCATTCGAGAGTATGATTGTTTGTATTGTGATGAGGGTGTTCTCTGTAATTATTAATTATGTTTTTATAAATAAAATATAAGTATTTCTATCAGTAGTTCAGTTTAGTACAGGCTCTGTTTAGTTTGGGATTAGATGGCGCTGTGTGAAATGTCTTCGGTTATTATTTTTTGTAATTATTTCAGGTGGTGATCCTAATTCTGGTCCATACAAATTCATACATGACGCCCAGATTCAAGCAAATATCGAACATGGGCAAAATTTATAATACAATAGAAAGAAAGAAAGAATAATTATGGTTTCGTATACATTTGTTTTATTGTAACAGCTACGAGTCAATTTAATAACATTATTATGCGGAGAATAATAAAAGGAAAATGTTGTTGATCTTTTTTAGACTTAGTTGCTTTCTTTATTTCCTACTAATTCCACTATACGTATTATTGCCCAAATGCCCGGCTAAATGCAGAAAACAGAGTCTAATACATATTACATACTACTAATTAAACTTAATCCGAAACGATGCATCAAGTCCAAAGAGGTTGTCCATTAATCTCTTTAGTGGTTGCTACGACACAACTCCAACTTTTTCCTTGATCTGCTTTATATAGCAGTGACTTGGTCTTCCCCGTCACCTCTTACCTTCAATAATATTATTCACAAGTGCCCCGAAATTTTTCACCGCCTATTCTCAATAATATTTATTAACTATCTCTTTGTTTTAAGCCTTACTACTCTTACTGCAGTAGTCTAAAGAAAAAAAAAAATATCACAAAAATAAACTAGATTTGAACTTTACAAAATTAGTTTTGTACAGGACTCCTTACATTTGGGCCGCTGGCTGGTATGACTATTCCTTATTTTTAAATATTTATAATTTATATCGGTTGCTATGGTTTTGTTTATATACTCCTTTTTACGATTCCTTGTATTGCTCTTGCTTTCATATAGTTTGTTACGACATATATTTTTATAATATACTATTCTTTTACATATTGCATCTTTAATTACCACCATCGTTGGCTGCACCGACCCCAGCGCCCTATACACAGTCCCACACAAGTTTATTGTACTAAATTGAAAGGGAAGGAAAGGTCTCATAAAGCTGTTAATTTTTTTTTTACTGGGAAAATTTGTTATGTACGATGTGATGAGGTTTCGCTATTTTATCTAATTGTTACCTGTACTATCTAAGATACTATGTAGTGAGTATTCGGGTGTAATAATTGTACCCATTAGTAATTTTATTCGTTAGTGTGCTACATAGCTTATTACTAAAGCGAACGTGCAAGGCAGAGTCGTAATGCGGACTGACTTTACACTGGAGTTAAGTCAAAATTAAATGGAGACGTAAGCAAATGGAAGGGTGTTGTTGACAGGAATATTTCACGTGTAGGGATAAAACAAGCACATCATTAAAGGATCGTACAAAATCATAGAATACTTTAAAAAGTAAACCTTCATGAATGTACGGAACGTGATTATGATATTACAAATAGGTCTGTGGTCTGAATTCTGTCATCACTGTCATTATTGGATGACGATTCTAACGCCCTAATGTAGGCTTTACTTCAATTTGGCGTAATTCAATTTAATCACACATTACCTTAAAATCATCAATGCTATAGTTCTGATAATAAAGTTAATCCAATTATAATGACATCTATATTAATGTAAGTTTTTACAATAATTATAATATGTAATATTACTTGCAAGTAAATTCGACATGGATCGACTGAAATAATATTCTTTAATAAATGAAAGGACGGAGAATTAAGAAATAATTCAGACAACATCTTGTAGAAAACTTGCACTATGGTGAAAATTACTAATATTATATGTATTTGAACGAGGATTTACAACTCATACAAGCTCATTTAAAAAAAATAAGAGCCGAGTTTCTTGTCAGTTCTTTTAGGCTCGAAAGTACTCCGAACGGACGGTAGATTTAACATATATCAGAGTTTGTAATAGACCTACATGAATAAATATATTTTGATGTTGAGGTCCGAGGGTAGTGACAGTGCGGCAGCAGTTGGCGCTGGCGAGGGCACTACTTCGCCATGGTTCTTCAGCCCACCTGAACGAGGTACAAACATTAAGACACTAGTTGTGCCTCTGACTTCGTACGCGTATACATTTGTAGAAGCCATTTCTTGATGTTAGTATATCAGATATGACAACGATAAAGAAAAATTTACTGATGATGTAGTATTAGTCTATCTTGTACAGATTTGAAAAGAATATGCCCTGAGTTTCTTGTCAGTTTGAGAGAGCACTCTCAACATACGGTACATTTGACATATCATTATAGTACGTAATACAACTGCATAAATAAAGATAGTTTGATTTTATTTATTAAAACAATAAACGATGCTTCTTGTGGTTCTTATGTTGGCCTTTATTTTTTTAATTTATCTGTTTGCGCCATGATTATACAAATACATATTCATAATCATGTGCAAACAGATTTAATAAGAATAAGATCAGAATTTCCTGTCTGTTCTTTTTCTTAAAAGTACTCCGAACTGAAGGTAGATTTACATATTACTATCAAAACAGTCTGTAATAGACATACTTGAATAAGATATTGTGATTTGATATGACGCTATTTATATTTTACGGGTAGTAGTAATAAGTATAATGTGTTTATACAACTTTAAAATATTATTCCTTAAGTAACCTGTTTAAATTGGTCAGGCAGGAGCCCCCGGCGTCGTCGGTCACGTTCCTCACCAGTTCGGTGAGTTTCACCCTTTTTTTGTTGTGTTAAACAAAAAGATAGTCGTTGAAGGACGTCTGGCAGATGTGCAACATGAAAATTTTATGCTAGATATTATGCATAGATTGGGGTAAGAGCGATTCGAGACAATTTGTTACACCGTACTTGTCTCCTACTACGTTTCAACATCTTTCCAATAAAAATCCTGATATTTTTACAGTAGTTGACTGTAAAAACTCCTGCAGCATGTAATTTTTTCAAAACAGTGAACTTATGCGAATAGAGACATGGTATTCTATATAGTGTAAACCGGGTCTTAATACAAACAATATAAATAATGTGTATTATACACGAAAGTATAAAAATATCAAGAGGCATGATAACTTAATTCTCTTGAATGGCAACACATGAGTCATGTCACATGATAACGTAATATCCGCACTGATACTCATGCATGATAGGCAATGGGTAACCATTTTAGGTTGAAAAATAAAGAAAGTCGAACTGGAATGAATTATTATAATTTTGCCTTTGAAAATAAAAAAAGGAAAAACTGTAAAGTATAGACAAATGATACCGTCACATTTTTTTAAACAGATTAAGCTTGGCGTCGTTAGCAACGCGCACCCGCAGTCCATTAGCGTCGCCACATCGCCACTCTACCGCAACCACTCGTTTGTCATCAGTACAGCCTGATGTCTACTGCGCCGATCAGAAGTAACTAATTATTAGTACTTTTTTGTTAACATTGTGAATTTCAAATCGACTTCTTTCAGTCTGAATGACTTTTAGGAAATTGTTTCCAGTGTTTAAATAGTTATTTTGTATTCTACGGGGGATATATTATTATTAATTATTAATATAGGTACTTTCATATCCTTCCGGCTTAATACCACTTTCAACTAATTCTACATTTATAAATTAATAATAAACATATGACAAAGAGACTCGGTATAGCACGTCCTCTGTACTCCACATAATGCATTATTCCACACTTCACAACATATAATTGGAAGATTTATGGAGATGATAAAGAAGGGCTTATATTGCTAAGCTTGTTTTATTATTATTGTTATCCTTCAGATTTTGATTGTTATGACAAGCCAATTGAATGGCAGGTTGGACTGGCCAAGTGGCTCTGCTTACTTCTCTGTGATGCCTCCTGCTACACCGTTGCGACTAGTTCCCCTCGTTACCAGCCCGATGCTGTCCCCAAGGGCCGAGTCTCCTCACCAGAAACCAGAACTGGTGGTACCTATGGTCATTTTGTCTGAGACTAAGGAACTGTCAATTGAAGACCCACCAATGGCAAAGGTTTAATAAATTAATAATTAATTAAAACATTTAGTAATATTTTTGTATACATGTAGTAAACATTTCGTAATATAAATATTTAATAAATTAGGTCGGTAAGTAGATTTTTGGATAACTGAGCCCGTTACCCGTATACCTTTTTTCTTCTTTGTTCTAATTGGTTTACCCAATTGGAAAACAAACAGTAAATTTTAAGTGAAGCTTACAATTCACTGAAATCAAATAGGGTAAATTGTTTCTGAGTGATTTCGCTTTTTCTATGTAATTCATATTCATAGAATGGCATATGTAGTCACGGCACATGAAGGTAAATGGCGATCGTTTCCTATTTACAAGAACAGCAATACGGGCATCAAATCATGGCCACTTATGCGTTGCCATTAAGGAGAATTAAGGTGTCATGACTCAGTGCCCAGTAATTTTGCTGGCAAAATTGCTCGCCTAAACGTTTTACTCCTGAGTTTGCTTCAACACATTATATTTATATTTTTTTGTACGGGACAGAAGAGGATGCCGAGTGGTTGTCAGCGACGTATTGTACGTCGCTTGCTGCAAGAGTTAGTAACAGGCTTGCCACTACCTGTTACTACCTTACCGTGCACAGTTACTTATCGGAAAACAAATGTATCATCCACATTGGTATCAGCAGCCAAGTATGTAATGAACATTTTCAATAATTAAATAAAAAAAACAGGAGTCAACTTCATTGTCTTGTATACTTATGTATTTATCAATATTTTCAGTAAAACGTCCTAGACGGTGTATATACCTACTGGATTGTCTGATCAATTCCGATCAAATACGAATACTGCATTACCTTGACCAGGATCGACAAAATAAAGGAAAATAACCAAATTTATTATGTTAATTATTTTCTATGTCTGGTGCAATAAACAGTAAAATAAGTAAATAAATACAATCTGATAGAAGGCTATCACAACTCTCTGTAATGAGAAGTCACGTCTTGTTCCCGTGTTAATTTTGTCAAAAGCTTATTAGCTTTGTAGAATAAAATAATCTAAGTACGTTTAAAATAAGTCTGTCCCTCTTATTATTTCCTAATGATATAGATTTCAAGAAATGATAAGGAGGTTTGATCATTCAGCGCAATGTTGCAGTAGTTAACCATTACATTATTTTAAGCTGTTCGCTAGAATGCCGATCTGACCACGTTCATTTACCGGGGGGTTACATCCCATCTCCCAAAACGTAGACACTATACTAGGAATTATGTATTCTTACTCAACACTAATATTTAATTAGCACATTTCTAATTCAGGGTATCTCAAGCTGTAATCACTGCTTCTGCGACTCTATTGTCTACATCACGAATAGCGGCTGAATGCAAACACGTGGCGATCCAGGCACCTACGCATATGTAATACATTAAAATATTGTTTATATAGCTGTAGCCATCTATATTCTATAATCATGAATAGCATTGCGGACATGACATAATACATAACGGTCGCCATAGTAATTTTTATGCGGTGTCATTTCTCGCTTTTCTTTCGTAGTTATCGAGTAGTTTATTCATCTCTTATTTTAAATTAGAATATTCTACTGCTTGGCAGTAGACCGAGATAGAAATATAGGACTGCAGGTGGCTTTGTAGATTCTCTTATTTTGATTATTCAGCTTAGAGGTAGACATATTTCTTAAAAGTGAGACTTCATAGTATGATTTGTGATTTGTGCAAATAAATTACTAGCTATTTTATCGAAGTAGGTGTAATTTTGCATTTCCATTCAATTTATTAATGGATTTATAGTGTTGACTATTCGGCGACTAAACTGTGTGACCTGACGATGCCACGTTTAGAGACTGAAAACACGTGTTGCAATATGAGTGCAGTACTCAATAACGGTTAGAATTATAGACGCATATTATTCACAATTAGAGAAAATATAGCTTGTCAGGTTTTCTCACTGAATATTAGTGCTATCACAGATGGGTAGCGAAATTAAACAAAATATACATCCAATAAGTAATGAAATTGCTAGTTCATCTGACGAAGTGGTAATTAAAAATCATATTCATTTCATGCATGTACTTAACTTAGCGAGTAAAATAAATGAGATCAAAGATCCAAAGATTTTTATACAGTCTCACCCAAGGTTCAGATTAATTCAACTATAAAAGAGCAACTTGCCAGTTTCTTGCTAATTTTTCTTGTGATAAATCTGTTTTTCGAATGAGCGATAGAATTAAAAAAATATTAAATGACTTTTCAGAAGTGCTTGTATTTAGTTTATTAGAATAAAGATCATTTCTATTCTATTTGTTATAAAAATGCTACATATGCTGTTTACAGAAAGAGATCAGAAAAACATGAAGAGAATTCCAGCTTTGCTAGTAAGTATTTGGTTTATTATCGTATCGTGTAATTGGTTTATTGTTCCAGTTCCACCCTAATCTGTATATTTATCTCGAAACAACCAATAGTAATCACCTTTCCTTGCAACAGAACTATATATCAAAAGGTTTACAGAAAGTATTCCAAGAAATTTACAAACTAGGAGCTGGGTCGTCACCATTTATCAGTATAGTTACAGTAAAAGTAAATAATATTTATTAATTTAGTAAATTTATTATATCATGTATTTACAACAAAATGTATTAAAGTATAATATTTATATTAGTTGTCTAGTAACAATAACACAAGCTCTGCTTAGCTCAGGACTAGATGGGGCTGTGTAAATTGTCCTGGGGGTTCTTATTATTATTAGTTTTGATTTTGGTTATAGTGAAAAATTCGCTAAACATATTAATCAGATCTTGTACAAAATTGTATGATGGAGTCATATATTATACCGAAGAACTAAAATGTCATACCAGTTCGAGGAGTCTGGTACGATTGACAACTTAAGTTTAGCTGACATTTATATTGTTTGTCATACAGGTGGCGTGGAGAAGCTGCCTGCGAAAGACGAATGGGTGGGTGGTGTGAGAGCTTTGCGAGACTCGCATGTGCGGCTTGTTCTGAGACAGTTGCGCCACATAGAGCGGCTGAACAGAGCGCTAGACCGTGCCGCACCAACCATTAGCGTACATAATCTGAAGCACTGAATATTTACGACAATATTTACCCTATACCATTCAAAGATTTAAATAAACGTTTTTAAGTATTTCTTGTTATGTAATACCCTCGAGACCCCAACTCTCATCGTTCTACTCATCGTTAGTAATGATCACATTTGTGGGAACATTTCTCTGAGTATCTTCCCTAATATCTAGTGGTGATGAGCTATTTCTCCACGGCTTCGGTGGTATAATGGTTTAGCATACCGCCTTTTTATGATCGCGGCATCGATTCCTCCCAGAGTACAAACATTTTTAATAATGAGTTGGTTCATCTGGTTGTTTTGTAGATACGTACTTACTAAGGTATTTAAATATTCATGTCAGCTGTCTTTGTCAATAATTAGGAAGTTACCAATAATAAGTTACACATAAGACAAGCTCTACTCTTGCTCTTGCGACTGGATTATGCTGTGTGAATTGTACAGGGGTTTTTATTATTCCTATAGTAGGAGTGCTTTTCAAGGCCTGCTGCCTTAGCATACCAAGGAACACCAAATTCTTTCACGCATAAAAGTATTGAATGGGTTTTAATGATACTTTAAAATAATATAGCTCATACATCAGAATAACTCATCGGCTATAAATTTAATTCGTGTGAAACCGCGGACAATAATATTTTATAGACTTTTATTTATAACAACCTTATAAATAACAGTCTATAAAATATTTCATAATACGTTGTTTAAACTCAGTACTTTAATCTTCCTGTGCTTGTATGATTTCTATTATACTTGTGTAGCAGCCAGAGATCAGGGCAAACATTCCTAATAGAATGATGATAATATCCCGAAGCAATTTGTATTTGCAAGGGCCGTAAGTTGTGGGATACCAGACGCAAACATCTATCAGTCCGGGGAACACGATGGCCAGCAGAGATAAGCACATAGCGCCAAAAAGAGAGATGAAAGGTCCAAGTCGTGGTACTGCAACTGCTACAGCAACTGGTAAACAAATGATCCATATATATAAGTTTATCTAAGAATTAAGGAGGGAATTAGCATAGCACCAATGTCAGCGGTCGCGGTGTCTTATACATAGAAACAATACTATCCAATTCGCTACGATGGGCTAACTAACCTGCCTGTATCATCTTATGATCGTCCATTGGTGCTCTGCGAGCGTTTATCCTTAGTGACTATTCATAAGTTAAAAAAATGTGGGTTTTTTTTGCTTATAAATATAAACTTCACAGACCTCTTCGACTAGACAATAATTATTATGATAATCATGTTTTAATCATGCAGTAACGTTTCAAGTCTATTTATGCCACAGTAATTCCACCGACATACATGTACCTTTCTCAGCTGAATCGAAAAAGAATTTAAAAAAACATTTGTACATATTATATTTTAAATTAAATTACGCTTTCATACTTGTTTCAAACTACTGAGGTTATTCAACACCAGTTATTATTATATAAGAGTAAAAATTTGATTATTTTTGAAATAAAACTTACAAGGCAGAAGAACGAGGACAACCCTTAATATATAGTCAACACAGTAGACTTGTCCCTGAGGAATCTTCTTTTTAAGTTTACGCCAAGTGATGGCGTACGCCACAAAATTTTGCAGCGGAAATGATAGGAAGATGGCAATTCCAAAAAGAACTTTAGCGACTTGTGCTTTCCTGCAAGATTAGTATTCTATTTTTAAAAAATCTCCAGTCGGCTTATGTATTGGCTTCATAAAACTTTTAATTTTAAATCATTAAACTTATAATAGCTTCGGTGAGCCAACGATTTAGCGCCGCCTTACTTCCAATGGTCCCGGAATTAGACCTGTAACAGTGCTTGGTGGAATGATGCCACGTAGTAATAGTATCTTATTAATCCTACCTTTGGTTTACAGATAGAGATTTTGATTGATTCTTTGGGTTAAATATTCTTATTCCCTTAAATGGAAATCAATAACATACACATAAATTTTAAAGTATAACAAATATTTATACTTACTTTTGATCTGAAGGCAGATTCAGTGTGATTGATGCTTTTAGATCATTACCATACTTGAGGTATCCAAATACTCCGACTAATGTGTACAACGTCATTATTGCAATCATGCCCAAATTGAACAATCCACAGATGCCAGTGAATTTCTTTGGGCAGTCCATATTATACTCTAGTGCTAGAATCTGAAATCAATATTTACTAGAAACAATTACTTCAATATTCAAGTGGTGACTACGTTTGGATGTAAGTGATACGCACCACTCCTACGGCCTCCAGAGCAAATAGTGTAATTCCAATGAATACAGGGATATCTTCCAAGCGCTTTAGTTTAAGTGTATCATCACTAACTGAAACGTCTTCCTCGACTAGGTAGAAAAACACCAAGATTAAGCCAAAAACTGTCACTATGTTGGATATAGTGGACATTGGTGTCATCATCTTTAGATCTTTGATTAAATTCACTAAGATCAGTGGCAAAAGGATCAAACACAAATGTATCCGTACTGATGCTTCAAATAGATTATAATAGTCGCACACCTGTGATAGTAGAAAATAATTATCATTATTAGGATATCATTAATGCAATCATCAATAAACGGATCCTGTAAATAAACTTATTTGCTTGAGTATCTACTCCGTTTTATATATTCATTTAATTAAAAAATTAGTTCGCGTTGCATTTTATTGTTTGAATATACCTCCAAAATTACTAAGATTTATGTCTGATCAGTCTGCTTTACGAATGAATGTTAGAATAAAAAAAAGTAGTAAGTATATTGAATAAAGATTATTTCTATTTCTGCAAGAGTAGGTTTCATTTTGCTAATATTATTTCACTAACCTGTTTTAAATTTTCTGCGACAAATACAAAATATATGACGCATATACCCAGTTGCCACGTGACAAGCACTACGTCCACAAAATAATAAGTTAATTTCGCACTCCAACGTAAGCAGGGTGGTCCTGACTGAAGAGCAAATAACATTGACTTCGGGTATGCCATATAACCTCTCTTCTCACGTTGGCAGATTTTGTACTGTGCTATGATCTAAAATAAATAATATAAAAAAACATATCCATATTCTAACAATAAAATAATGCCTTTTATAATAACTAAATTAAATCTAATAAGACCAATTGAAACCAATTGAAATAACAAAAGCAATTGATATATAATAGAGGCATAACATGAAATTGAAGGGGGTTGTATTGATACACAACCCCCGCTACCGTGGCAGATTGCCGTCGTCAGTGTAGTGACCACAGAGACAATTTATATTCATATTTTACTATTATTTCATATTTATGGATCTGGTACCTAAAATGCAGGACGACCTCGGTGGTCTAGCGGTCTAGCACACCGCTTTACGTCCGATGGTCGCGGGTTGGATTCCTCGCACGGCACAAACATTTTGTATTTATGAGTATGATTGTGTCTGGGTGTTTTCTATATATAATATGTATGTATTTACGAAAAAATACCCATAACACAAGCTTTAGCTAGCTTAAATTGGGTCTAGATGGCGCTGTGTGAATTGTCCAAAAGAAAAAAAAAAGATATTACAGTTTCGCCCAAAAAATTGCTAAATAGCTAAAGGCAGTCACGTGATTGTGCTTTCCCGCGTTACAACACGCACAATCAGGAGCGGAAATAACATGTCGTGTAAAGGTAGCTATTAGGAAGGCTGCCATTCAGAAAAGCAAAATGAATAGCGGTTACTACAATAAGATATTGAATACATACGAGAAGCTGGATGCAGTATGTCGCAAAGAAAGCGATGGCTGGTATGGCTATAATACCATTAATTAACCCCAGACGGCGTACGGCATCTGGCATACACAAAATACCAGCCCCAATACTGGCCTTCAATAGATGTATCATTGTGTCAGAGTACCTGTTATAAAAATAATCAATGTGTCATGTGAAACGAGTCACCGTCAAATTATTGTTGTAGATTATTGTGATATTAATGATTTTCTATTCTCTTCTGTACTTACGACGTTGGTTTCTCTATCATTCGATGTGCATGAGGATCATATGCGTTTACGTCCTCTTCACCTGCAATAGAGTAATGTAGAAATGTTGAAAGTTATCTAAGAAAATAGCAGTTCCCACCGGCAAAACATTATTTATATGGAGTAAGTTGCTTTGCCTTGATATCTTATAATTTTATCCATATTTCACATTTCAATCGAAACAGCTTACAAAGCAAGCTGCTTGGTGGCAGAAATAAAATATGTGCTAGAGAGGTATCTATGCAGGCGACTTTCAACGAAATTTGCACTACTGCAACATCCCAGATACATGTCATAATTAACTAAGTAATACTTACCACCACCTGTAAGCGTCTCTACCACACCAGCCATGAACTTGTAAATGAACATTTTTGGATTTTTTTGTAACAAATTACCGTAAAATCTTCTTTGCCACTCTTCCACAATGCGATGCAATTAAAAGGGTTGTGATCAATAAATAACCCACATTTTTATAATATTGAACAAAATATAGAAAACCAATGTAAACGATTCAAAGTTTCCTAAATCGTCAAACTGTCAATACTTTTTATTTTGGGACAAGTGCTGGCAGAAATAAAACTAGATTGTAATTGGCCAGTATGTTCTTTTTTGTCTATTTGCAAGAATATGTCATAACTCTTTTCTATGTCCAGAATATGAAAGGTATTAAATACAATCCTATATCGAAGATCGTATCATATTTATTGGTTCAATTTTCCAGGTTTCGCCACGAAATAAATGTAACTCTATGTCTGCCATTTCACATAGACGCAAATCAACTTCGTTGTGAGCTTTATTTCGGTTGAAGGATAGGATGATATGCCAGTGAAATTACAAAGTACGGAGGCGTGACAACTTAGACCTTTAGAATAATAATGCATACGACTATTTTTCCGTGTATATAGTTAACATTAACATTATTTCATTATATTCTAGTTAACATTATATAAAACACAAAAAAAATATCACTGACGGATATCATGCTGGGTTTCGGTGTATATTGATACTCATTAGCGTGTCTAATTTCTTTTGTATACTTTATTATATATTATGTTGTTTTTGCACATTGATTTATTTTTATATGTAGATACTGAGTATGTGTATTTAGAATTGTTGAATTAATTTATTTTAAGTGATAACCCATTTTAAATGAATTGGTCAGATTAGTACCATTTTTTTATTATTGAGGGGTCTGGGTTATTACTCTTCGTTAAAGAGAACACTGCGACCTGCACCTATTCTCCTCGTTTTTTTTCAAAGTTCACAGTATAGGTCCGTCAGGGATAAGAATTGAAGGATATTTTTAGGACCGATGATTTTTATATGCTCAGAATAGACTGTGTACTTTTCAAAAGGAGTAGTTTCGTTTATGCATAAGTGGGCTACAACCACATAGGATGTGAGGTGGTTTTCTTCTTCTATTTCTTATTGGATTTTTTTCCAATCTGTTAGAAGCTAAAAATACGAGTATATACCTACATATAATAGTTTACTACATATTTTAAATCAATATTATTAGTCCAAACATGTCTCTCTAACAGACAGACGTATTGGGGTAAGGGACCCTTTTGCTAAAGAACCCTCTTGCAGTCACAAAAACATGTGTCTACTGCGCATGCTCAGTGAATGACGCCGTGCCCTCTCTCGTAAATGCCGGTTGTATGGACGGCGTAGTGCTGGACAGTGTTGCCACCTTAGAGGTTTACCAAAACAATTGATAGATTTAATATTTCCTTTGGTTAAACAAATTTCTCTTTGATGGCTTGAAAAAATAATGCTCTTATTATGTATAGATATAGAAATTACATATTGAACCATACTGGTTCTACTCAAGTTGTTATCCGCGAATTACTTTTACTTTAATCTTCACTAATATAAAAATCGTAACCAATAGTATTTATTACTTTACTTATTTATTTTAATAAATTTTGCTTAATGATGTAAATATATTCAGAGCAATATACATTACAGTACTATAAAAGGGTATAAAAAGTGTACCAATATTTTTTAATTTATTAACAGCCTGGTTTGCCTGCATAATTGTAATTTAGTTAATGTTTTAGTACTTTCATTAATATACACGTTTTTTACGGTTTTAGAAGGACGTGCTGGGGGACTTGCTGAAGCTTTGTTGGCAACACTGGTGCTGGAAGACAGCCAGTCGCCCCCGGGCTTTTCCGACAGCGGGAGTGCTGTCGCTTTTATTTTAGGCATGTGTTAACAACCTTACCGTTTATAATATGGTATGTAGCTTTTCATTAAATAGTAATTGTATCTATCGAGACATTACAACATTATATACAAACAATATCCTAATTACTACTGAACAAGTTCTAATATCGATTGTCCTAAATCTAGCGAAAAGAATTACATAAACCTTACGTTTACCACTTTTATGCAGAGTTTTTAAATATAGAACAATAATAGATAATTCTCTTTTCTTTCCTCTAATTTATTTATATGCAAATTTTAATAAGACATATTATGCAAATTAATAGATGGGTATATTGCAATGGAATTTGTTATATATGCAGTGGAAATAAAGTATATAGAGTAATGGGATATTTAGTCCGTAATACATTATATTCACTTGCGTAACTATGCATTTTTACTCTATTAATGAATATACAAAATACAGGTAGATCGTTATATTTAGTTTTTGGTTTTGCCCTTGGACTTTTATTATCATTTTGTTTTCTTATAATATGAGACATTTTAGGGCGAGGTTTCGGCCCATTATTTATGTGTCGTTTACCGCGACTGGCTAGATACTATTTTTGATGGTAAAACATTTAATTTCATTATAAATATTTGCATATACAAACAAATTGTTTGTTTTGGAGTATATTTTTAGTTTCATACCTTCACGTAATTTTTATAAATTCATTCATAATTAGATATGTACTAATTGCGTAATACAGTTGTATAATATCTATAATTTCTTAATAATTTTAGGGTTGTTGATTCTATTTTCATTCAATGCCTTGTCTTTAATTAAATTATTTATTCATTGCTTTACATGTGGTAATATATCCTAGATATATATATATATCTAGGATATTACCTATAGTAAGTAAGGTAAGTAAATTATATAGTATAGTATAGGATACACTTATTTTGCATGTTTACATTGTCCATCTATGTTTCATCTAAAATATAAATCATACTTTCGTAAACAACATTTTTTCATAAAAACTAAATTATCATTTACAAAAGCACAGACTCCCGCGCATTTCGTACTTATTATAAAATTCTAACTTTTGTTCTGAACTTTGTGTACTTTCCCGTCATTGAATTGATTTAAAAGTTAGGAATGACACTCAATCTCACATAATACTTTAACGCAAATTTTTGTGGTGATTGGTCAAACTAATCAGACGTAACAAACAAACTCACTATCGGATTTACAACATTTGTTAGGATATAATAAATGTATGTTATACACAAACAAGATGAATTACGTTCATCAATCACTTGTCTCGTTGTTTGTTGGTACGTGTCAAGTAATTATAGTTCCAATGTGACCATGTTGAAAATTTCCATAATATTAGGGAAATTATATTTAAACATCAAAGCAACTACATATAACTATTACGTACAGACAACCAATGCAAACTGTTACTATTCCGCATGCCCAATGAGGAATAGAAATACATTGTGGGGAGTTGCAGTCATTTTTATGATATCTGTGGGTTTTTTATATGGTGATATAACATATTGACTGATGGTCCGCTTCATAGAAGTAGGCAACAGGTGCCCATATGTACAGAAAACATTACAGAGCTCACAAACGCATTAAACTGTCTGTAGAAGACCTATGGTAAAACTAAACTAAACTACTAAAGATCTAGGATATGAGGATTTATCGGACTCCAGGTGACAAAGCAAGTTATTTGGTGGTAGAATATATGAAACAGAGATTCTTTCGACAATAGCGATGCCGGATCATTTTTCTGTGCTATATTCAAGTCTCGTCTTACTTTTATCCACCAGTAGCATTCACGGAAGCAAACACTACACACAAAGTTTTTTTGTTAATTGAAAATTGTCCTAAGACAAACGAATGCAACATCGGCATACGGCATATCAAAAAGAACAGGTAAGTAACGTGTACGTGTAGTTTAAAATCAAACATTCAAGGAAAGCTTCTAATTTTTGCGGTTTTTTTTATGTTTTACTTTAGAACACTTTACTGCATGCACCGATTTTAGTAATTAAAGGCTTTTTTTATTAAAAACTTAGTACAAACTTTTAACAAGAAAAATAAGAAGTGCCTAAATTACCATTCTCATAAAAAATGACCAATATCCGTCCAATAACATACACTTGGCCTACACCGACGATTTCATAAAAAAATTCTTCAATTTATAAATCACGTTAAAAATAAATAAAGGATGGAAAACGACGAAAACCATCTACACAATATTACTACATGATAGATGAACTTGGTATTACCTGCAACAGAATATATTTTATTACAACTCTTGATTAGTGATTTTGATAATCACTAATCAAAAGAACCTCGAAACCTTGAAACAGAAATTCCAATTAATTTTGTTGAATAATAAATTCTGGCTGCAATTGATTTTTATAGGTGTATGCTAGCTGACCCGTCAAACATTGCCATATAATTAATATCGTTATTAAAATATAGGGGTTGATGGTAGAAGGGCGAAAATTTAGGGTTGTGTATATGTTTAGAGGCCGACTCTTAAAAAAATTGTAAATAAGAATTTTTTGGGGTGGACCGTCCCTATTAATTAGGAGTATAAAATATACATTACATCGTATTCTCAGAGCTACCGAGTATACATATAAAATTTCATTAAAATCGGTTAAGCCGGTGTCATGAATTTTATGTATTACATATAGAAGCAAAACTATGCTATGAATTGATTTTCTATCTAGGTTTATTATAGGACCCATCTCTGCTGTACTATTTTCAGTTCTATAAGAATTCACGATGACCTCAACGAGTAATAAATATAAACGATGTACCTTTACACAAGCTAAGGGTGACCCCACGCTAACAATTTGTCGTGGGACTTTATTGAACTGCCCAATCAAAAATATAGGTATATAAATAAACTATAAAGATTTTAAACAGCATACTTAAGTCTCAAATTAAACAGAGCTTGTACTAAGAGCAATATAGTACTTTACTACTTATGGAATTTCTGTTAAAATAAAAAAAAATCTTTAAGTAAATTTATAAGTAATATTTAAAAAGTTTTAAAAAGGAAAAGGATTCAGTATATTATTTATCTATATATATATATATATATATATTATGTGCATCACTTCTTAGTAGTGTAACTGTTATATTTGTAAACCGGTTGTAATAAAATGAACAGTATGTTTTAAACTTAACCACTTTTCTGTAATAAAAGTGGTAAAATAAGTGTAATAAAAGTAAATTTAAAACATAGTGTACGAGTTTACGTGCAGGAATAGATTTAACTATTTCTGGTGCTAGGTTTGAAGTTATATTACTTGTTAAGGTTTTAAGTTTTGTAATTCAAATGTTTTTAGGGCTTTCTGTTATATAGGTTTAAGATTCCTTCAAAGCTTAAAAAACTGAACCGGGACCCAGGGGGCCCGTGATATTTTACTTTCTCTGTTAGCTATTGTTACTCTTAATGATATTAGGATGTCAGGAATAGTGGATAGGACCTTGAAAGTGAATAAAGGAAATCCGTTTAAGAAGGGGTCACTGCATTTGATAGAATTAATGTACTATATAAGGTATTCAAAATCGTACAACTAATGCTGCTCTATGGTCACCTTAAGAAACAAGTTTAAGATGATTGGAGGCAGGACGCAACTCGTGTGATATTCGCACACTACACCAGCTGCAGGGTTGTAAAGTCAAAATAAAAAAAATCTACAGTTTTAAATAATAACAAAAACCATGAAATAATACAAATGAAAGTGAAAAAATAGCAGTGTAATAGTAGGTAAATAATATTATTACACTTATATTTTCACGTAAATGATATTCAAAATACATTATGTGTGAATAAAAATTTATCTATATGACATATTAAATCATTACATATTAATTTATGACAAATTAATGACGAAAATTATATTAATCACAAAAAATAGCACCACATATTCAACATTTTGAATTTGTGAAGCTTTAGTTTTATTGTGAAGTATCTATAAGTGACAAAATTTTTATGCCACTTTGTCAGGGAAACAGATAGTTCTGAAAAAACTTTATGATGTTTTTTTGTAGAAAAGTACTAATAGGTACCTCTAGTAAGATCTGCAACCTCCTCGTTATGTTGTATCTATGGAAAATGGGTATAAAAATATCTGTATAATAAGCTTAAAAATTATTAAGCTATATGGTCTACCTAAATAAAAAAAAACATATATTTTCCTTTATCACAGATTTAAAAAAATCATTACTTTATTGAACATAATATATAGAATCCTCGCCATTTATTCTCTTAACGTCCTTTATTAGAATATGCATTTGTTCAACATTTGAGAAGTCACATTTTGGTTCTAGCTATATACATAATTTTACGAGTATTCTCCGATTTAAACATTTAGATATCATCAATTTGTTCGTAATATCTAATAGAACACCAGTAACAGTATGGGTTATCATTTAGAAATGTGTTTTATCTGACTTTATCAGTAAACTACATGGTCATAAATATTTATAACCTATAGCTGAAAATAAACTTATTTTAAACACAATGAAATAGGTACAGAATTGAAAATTACTTTTGAAAGATTATTATTTTGAACTTTATAAACCATTTCAGATAATTTTGACATATTTAGTTTGAGGATTTGGAGAAATATAAATTATTTGTGAATTGGACCAGCTCGGAGCTGAACCGGAACCACTGGCTCACAGTGCACATAGGAATAAATACATCCCTATTATCATATTTATCGTTTCTTTAAATACTATAACTTGTTAAAACATACGTACGTAATAATTAGCACATAATTGTTTAAATCAAAGTTCATATGACGTTTATTTGGTACAATATCTCAAGACGTCCAACTACCAAATAATCCTACCTCGATATCTTGGATCTCATCAGACAGATAGCAGCACTCAGTTGATCTAATAGACGTGAAGACTCATAAGTAACACTGTTTTATTTTAATTAAAATAGATTCATATTCATTAGAAAAACATAAATGACTTATAAATCACTAAAACAACATTTAATAAAGAATAGATGAAAATTCAGCACGAATTTGTTTATAAATT